AATGTGGCAACTCCATGTCCAAACTTGCAGCAGGTATTGCCCTGATGTGAGAATAGGTTGTATTCTTGGACTGAACATCTGGCACTACTGATGGTAGAACAGTACTGACTATCAAGTAATTCTCATTACTACAGAGATCTAGTAATGTACACTTAACACAAGAGGGCGTGTTAACGTCTCAACATGGAAAGCAAAGTGACCATGGAGCTACAAGATTGCCTTCACATCCTCGTTGATATCAAAGGCCCTAGTCCCCAATTATGAAATGAACTCATACTGGCATTGCCATGCAAATTAATTTTCTTGGAGGCCTGAACTAAGACTACCAATGAATAAGAGGGCAACCTAATCCTTAGAATGAGCTTTAGCAGTATGGATGCGAGACCATTCAGAATGGAAGGTTACTTTTAAACAGACTTTAATAAAGCAGACAAAGATGCAAGTGATTATCAGACTTCACTCCAGTTGGCAAGCAAGGGAAGCAAAAGTCATCCACAACTGCCTACAAACAGCACAAGAGTGACCCCAAGTTATGCCAAGGTAACATTTATGAGGAGGCAGTTCTTCATGCAAGATTGTAGCAAACGTTTTACTTGTGTGACAGCATAACAAAAGACCACTGACAAAGGCAAAAGCCTCAAGACAGCTCTAATGTGTCATTAAACACAAAATGGTAGTCGATTAGAAAGAAGAATAAATGAGTGTGTTCCTGATGTATTACCAAAATAATGTTAATAATGTTTACTAGGCATGTAACACAACATGTATTAATTTTAAAAAATACAGTAATGTAATTAATTATATAAGGAAATTTAAAATTCAACACAACCAAGGTGATTTTTTATTCATATCAAAACGAAGGCGCACAAGGTGATGTGAACTCCAAGTTTTAAGTTAGACTGGTCAAGGGTTGGGAGAGATAGCATTAAGTTCTTATCTGCTTACACTACCAATTATATCTTATTTAATTACGTAGCTTGCAACTCACTCGAACATTATAGTCAATTTTTTTCATGCTAGGTAGACAAAATTATAAACTCCAATCATTGTTGGCATGAACAGCATTTCTGAAGCACTATATTGTATATACTCAAAAGTGTTGTGTGGTCTCTTAGTTTGTACTGTCATCATCTCACCTACTGAGTAAAGAACAATTTATATATCCCCTCTACTAAAACTACCACGGTAACACAAACCATCAATGTAATGGAAAATCACTAGTGTTAAAATATCGCCAAAAGCTACTTTTACAATGGTAAGTTGATATATATGTATGTATGTTTCAATAAATATGACTGCACATTGTGATTTTTTCTTGTTTGGGGCTTCTATCCCTCTAACTAGTGATCTTGCATCTTGGGTTTAATTGGAAGAGGATTTCTCCAAATGTATTCTTTGTTCAAGGTAAACTAAAAGAATAATTAACTGTAGAATGTATTATACTAATTAGAAATTTACACAACGTTTCAAACCTACAAGGTTCATTCTCAAGTGATGAAACTGTACTGGGCATATTGGATTTATACCATTAGGGTGGTCAGGTACATGCAAATACAAAATGGTTTAGAGCAAGGCATAAAGGGTGAAGAATAAAGAAAAAGATAGGGGAAGCCCAAACAAAGATTAATCGGATGTAGTGGACATGGTGTTTCGAGCAGTGTCATCAATGTTGGCATCTTCACGTTCCTGAGTTGTTCTTACTATCATGATGGGTAAGAATGAATAGTTCCGGTATTTATGGTGGGTTGTTTGACTTTTATGTAAATGGCTTCATGAATTTGTAATCTTCTTACATCTTGAGTTATGTCTTATTATGCGAGTATTTTTATTCAACATTTCTCTTGTCAGGGGATGTCATGGGTTTCTCTGATGTGATTTTAGGGGCACCTGATTAAAGATGACAAGCCACTCGCCTTGTGGGCTTGGTCGACGCCATACCTATGTATTAAGATTGAAGGCTACATCCTTTGTGGGGGACAGGTGTAAATATATACCACATTTGACTGCTGTAAAGGATTCTCTGTTGGCTTCGGGCTGTTTTTAATGAGGTCGGTGATCTTTGTTTTATAGTATATGATTAGGTCTTGGTTAGGCTAGGATTTAGGCTTAGTAGTTAGGTTTACAGATTTACAGGCACCCGCCTAGACCATCGGGCCCTAAGTATTTATGTTGCCCTACGCCTTGCCGCCCTTATCTCCACCAAACACCAGTGTATCTGTGGCTATGCGTCGGCAGACCAATACGGCAGTCATGGTCACGTCTGTCGTAAGTCACAAGGAAAGATTACCAGATACAAAGCAGTCAATGACATTATCAAGAGAAGTTTAGCTACATCAGTGTCTCCAGCACAATGGGAACCTCAGTTGTGCAGACCTGACAAGTCACAAATGCTCAGATGGATTCACCCCTGCAGCCATGGAGGGATAGTAAACAGGACATGTGGGACTACACGTGTGCGTCTACATTGGCCGATACCTATCTACCTCACAGTACAACTGAGGGAGGTGGGTTGGCCACCTTCAGGGAGACCCAGAAAACTACAAAGAACAGGGACCTAGATCAATGTTACAGGTTCGTGCTAATTTGCTCCAAAATCCTGGGCGCCTAGGGAAAATATGCACTTACGTTCCTAAAGGAGGTGGGTGAGGAACTCGCTTAGGTAAACTAGAGACTCTAGAGAGTGTCTAGAGAGAGGAACAGGACTGTTTCCTGTTCCTGTGCCTCAGTGTCACAATCCAGAGAGGAAATGTTTGCTGTATCTTGGGGATGCCCCACCTCCGAAAAGGTGAACGAGGTCTTCGAACAGTAATTGTTGTGTGTGTGTGTGTGTTCTGTAAACTGTACACAATGTAATAAAATTAATAAAACAAAAACAAAAATAGGGGTGGTAGGAGCGGAAAATATTAAGTGTTTAGTGAGAAATCACAATGTCTTCTCTGAATACTCTTTATTTTCTTCAAGGCTATGGGTCCTTACAATTGCACCAGAGATGGTACCCTTATTACATATTATATTATTTATATATATATATATATATATATATATATATATATATATATATATATATATATATATATATATATATATATATATATATATATATATATATATATATATATATATATATATATATATATATATATATATATATATATATATATATATATATATATATATATATATATATATATATATATATATATATATATATATATATATATATATATATATATATATATATATATATATATATATATATATATATATATATATATATATATATATTATAAGAAACATCTTCAGAAGTAATGAATTCCTTCTGAAGATGTATTAGTATACGAAAGTACTTAAGGAAATTCTTGTTTCAATTCTTCCTTCGTGGTCTGTCACATTTTTTATCGTGTGTTAATTTTCGTGATCATCACACACACACACAGGGGTACCTCAGTTTAAGAATTTAATCCATTCCTGGAGACAGCTCATAACCTGAAAATTCGTAAACCGAAGCTAATTTCCCCATAAGAAATAATGGGAATGAATTAATCTGTTCCCGACTACCCAAAAAATTAACTTCAAACTAAATTTTATACCTAATTCATCCAAATCTACACTACAAAAGTATGTTCAAGTTATTACTTGAACCACCGGTGTTACTGTTTGGGAGTCCCCTTCCATTATAACATCAGGCAGTGAAGATTTCTCTGGAGTGCACACTCTGGCACATTTTGCCTGCATATCACTAGGCCCTGGTTGTGGCTCACTGCTTGATTTTCTCACAAGGAAACGTTCCATTGAAGATTGTTTTTTCCCTTCTTTGCAACACTTGTCTATAGTGAGGCATCACATTGTCATTAAAAAGATCAATGCAACAGCCTACTACAACTTTATCTGGGTGATTCTCTTCAGCAAAACTTTGCAGTCCTTCCCATACTGTACACATTTTTTTAATTAATAAGGAAGGGACATTCTCTACTGCCTCCTCTTCCTCCCCTGAAGATTTGTTGTACTGCCTAGCTAGTTCAACAACACGAGTACCATTTTCATGATTACGAATGATCTCTTGTTTTTCCTATATTGTCATACTCACATGCGATTTCTTGCCTTGAACCTTATCACTTTCTTTCTTGGGACCCATGGTGGGATATATAATAAATTTTATGCTCAAATGGCTTAAAAAAAAAAAAAAAAAAAAATCCTTGTGAAGAATTCAGGCGGGATAGTCACTGGGCGCGAGGTACTGGTAAACTAAACAATTGCCGTGCCACCACCCGCTAGGTCGGCCGGTATGCATATCAACAAACTCGTAACCCGATGCAAATTTTCCGAAAAAAATCGGGCTCGTAATACAAAAAACTCGTAAACAGGAACACTCGTAACCCGAGGTTACACTATGTATATGCATATGTGTGTGTGTGTGTGTGTGTGTGTGTGTGTGAGATATATATACATGTCGTACCTAGTAGCCAGAACGCACTTCTCAGCCTACTATGCAAGGCCCGATTTGCCTAATAAGCCAAGTTTTTGTGAATTAATTGTTTTTCGACTACCTAATATAACTTTTTCGGCTTCCTAACCTAACCTAACCTATAAAGATAGGTTAGGTTAGGTAGGGTTGGTTAGGTTCCGTCATATATCTACGTTAATTTTAACTCCAATAAAAACAAATTGACCTCATACGTAATGAAATGGGTAGCTTTATCATTTCATAAGAAAAAAATTTGAGAAAATATATTAATTCTGGAAAACTTGGCTTATTAGGCAAATCGGGCCTTGCATAGTAGGCCAAATACGACGTTCTGGCTACTAGGTACAACATTATATTATATATATATATATATATATATATATATACAACTTAAATTTGAAAAAGCATATTATTTAAATATCAGAATTCTGTATACAGTTTAAAAAGATTATCAAGTAGATATACAAGTCAAGTATGACCAACTAAAAAGTAGGATAATGTTATGAACAGTATGGTAGTAAAAGCAAATCAAACCTAAGCCTTCAAAAAATTTATTAAGTCACTGACCTACCCATTTCATGATGCATCAATTTAGATTTAATTAAAGAAATGAGCATAGGTAGAGAAGTTTTTAGCTTTACTATGCACCACACTTTGGTGTTCTAATGATGGTACACCACACTCTGGAGTTCTATTGATTGTTACTAATGAAATGATGTACTGAAGTTATACTTGTTTATAAGGAACTCTTGTAAATTATGTCTAACTGGAAGTGGCCATATTATGTCGTTGAGTGGCTGGAGAGAGCACACTGTGCTCAGAGCAATGTACACAACACTTAAGTGGATACGAGATTTTATTGATAATAATGTTGCACTTGTGCTTTGATAAACCTTTAATCACAATGTCATGATCAAACTCTGCTCTTCATGCATGTCATGGGTTGCACAAACAAGACGCTTAAGAAGCCAAAAACCAATCACACTTCAGATCAAACAAATAAAACATCTGGAAGACATGCTCACATCATTGGCCAACTTGTAGAAACCAGAAACATTCAGAAATAATACAGTAAAATACTGCTGCTTCAGAGTCAAGCTCAATACAAAATTGCTCCGGGCTGTAAGCTTTATATAAAAAGGCTATGATATTTTGATGATGCTTTAAAAACTTTACACATACAAAATATTTTTAATTGAGAGTCAATATTTAAATATATTGGCCCTTTTACTTTAGAAAAAACATGGCTAAAAATAATTTTTCCCATGAGCACTGATATAAAAAATATCTAACTACCCTTTAAATTTGTATATAAACTTTTCCAGTGTTATGTTTCCATGGAATATTAAGTTTTATCATTTTTAAAACCTACAAACTTTTATACAAGTTAGCTTGTTGTAATCTTCTGCATTCCTTGTCAAAATGGTTCGTATCACAGTTGTTTTTCAACTGAACAGTATACAGTATATATAATTTCATAAATCCTTAAGAAATATTTAAACAACCTGGAAGTCTTGTGATAATTATACAGTAGCAGGGATAGTGATTATGTAAAACTTATTCTGTATTAAATATGTATAAAATTACATTTATTATATAGTACCAAATTTTTCAAACTACAGATTCTAGCTTCCAAAGCAATTTACATTTCATTCTGAAAAATGCTTAATGCAATTAATAAACAAATAAAAAATTAACAAAAGAGCAAGATGAATAAAAAATGCATAAACTTTTTTTGTCTGCAATCCCTTAGAAAGGTTAGTACTTCGTATTTGACAACACTATTCACAACAAAACTTGACAATTACTGAAGGCAAAATGTGAATACAAATATGTTTGGTTACAATAAAATTCAAATATTTGTAACAGGGTATTTTTCTTTTTAAGCCAGCATCCAGCCCAAAATACAATAAATGCTCTAAATATACAAGGGATTTTAGGATTTATGAGAATTTCTAAATGACAAATACTTTTGATCAAGTTTACGATCCTGGAATTTATTTACAAATGAATGATCATGTTAAGACTGGCAAGCTCAGAACTGCACACTCCAAGACTTCACAATACCATCATGTCCGACAGACACCAGCTTCCTGTTATCCATCCATGCTAATCCTGTTACTTGAGACTGTGGATGCGAGTCTGAAAATTATTGATACATAACAGATTATGAGATTCGATAACAATCTTTTCCGAATACAAAAATTTACTATAAACTAAGAAATATTGTATGAAGCTAATTATCTGGACTAAATGGAAAGGACCCCTATCCGGATAAGCAGAATTCTTACAGGGGAAGTAAAAAGTGGCCATATTCACAGTATTTGGTACCCCCAACCAACATAATTTGAACTTCCACACGCACTATAAATAAAAAAAATTAAAAGAGATAAACTAAAGCTTACCTTGCTGCAGTTTTTCTTGTTTGATAATGTATAGAGTACAACCTCAATTCAATGCACCCCGGTTCGCTGCATCTTCGGCTTGGTTGCACACTTTCCAGGACGGATTTACTCACCCATTTTGACAAGCAATGGTTCGCCGAAGTGGGAGATGTGCGGATTTGCTTACGATGTTGGGACAGAGTTCACAGACCGGTGGTAAACTTTCCAATTCTATCACAGGTTACAATTAATAATTCCTTCATATGACAAGTTGGATCTTACAAGTGGTCCACAAGTGGGACCACACAAGTGGTCCACAAGCTTACGATGTTGGGACAGTTTACACACTGGTGGAAAACTTTCCCACTATCACAGGTTACAATTAATAAATCCTTCATATGACAAGTTGGATCACACAAGTGGACCACACAACAAGTGAACCATATAACCAAACACCGGCCAGAATGGTCCCACACAAAAATGTGAAGCATATTAAGCAAACATCAGCCAGAGTGGTCCACACAAGTGAACGACTGTTTCCATGATTTTCGTCCACTGATTTGTGGCTCATGTATCTTTGTAGATTAATTTAAAGGTTGAATCATGAATAACTAGCTAATGTGTTGAAATCTTCTTATATACATTTTCTGTGATGAAACAAGACAAGTGAGGGTGGACAGATAAGGGAATATGGTACAGTAAACCTCACTTTACAGTGAGGTTTCACTTACTTTCGTCTGTGTCGTCATAATTCAGTGACCAATGACTTTGAAAGTTTCAGATTAATAAATCATTTCTAAAACCGGTGTTTAAATAGCTCTTTATTATCATAAACTAAACTAAACTAAATACAGTTAAACCCAAAATATACTGTAATATGATAGACATCTGCTATTTGAGAAATTATTTGTTATTGGCACAACTCCAGCACGAATGGACAGGTCTAATCTGTGTTTCGTTCAATTTCGTCGCCACAGTTCAGTGACCTACGGCATCGAATAAAAAAATTAATAAATCAATTCTAAAATAAGTATTTTTTGTATCTCTTATTATCCTAATAATGTTGTTAAACTAAATACACAACCCAAAAATATATAATGTGATGTAAATCCAATATTTAAGAGAAATTTATTTTACTGGATCTGGCTTAAACACAAGCCTACTATAGGGTGTATAGTCCTAGTCTACGTTCATGCAGTAGGCACTCGGTGCCATTAGCTTTGTTTGCAAGTGACGTATTTGTCTGCTGGTGCAAGAATAATCGTGAAATTTACCATTTTTTGACTACAACTGTATTATTATACGAGGTACCTCAGGGGTTTGCTAATCGTACCGTAACTACCAAGAGGAAGAGGAGTTTTTTATCCACTGAGCAAAAATTTGACATAATAGTAGGCATCCTTCAGTCTCTGCAGACTATGGCGTTTCGCTCTGGTTGCTCTCCAGGGCGCAAAGCCTGGGTATGGAGGAGAAGCTGTTACCCATGCAGCAGGTCCCCCTTCCATGTTGCTGAAATTATCCAATGGAAAGACAAATGCCAATACACATGGTTCCAGCACTGTCGCAGGAGCTGCCAGAGTGAGGTCGAAATCGACAAGGAACAGCCTTAGGGGCTCCAACTCCGGATTTTTCCTCGAGGTCGACTCCTGAAGCCTTTCCCAAAGAGGGGGTGTGGCTGCAAGGCAGCGGAGATTTAGAATCAGGGTTTTCCTTTCCCTAGATGAACTGCCTTCCCAGGCTACCGAGTCCCATCTATCCGGATGACATATTAGAGAAACATGAATATGGTTACTCTGTTACTAGACTGGCAACAGAATTTAATGTCGGGAAAAGTACAGTGTGTGATATCAAGAGACAGAAAGATGATATTAGGAAGTTCCTTGCTGCATGTGATGGTGGTGAATTAAAAAAAAAAGGAAAACGATAAAGGTTCTACATATACAAAATTAGACGAAGCTGTGTATAAATGGTTTAACCAGGAGCGCTCTATGGGTGTGCCACTTGGTGGTGTTGCCATTAAGACTGCTGCAGATAAATTTGCACAAAAGATGAACATTCCAGGTTTTCGAGCAGACGAAGGATAGTTCCGAGAAAGGCAAGGTATCGTGCAGCCAGGACCCTGTTCGACCTCCAAAAGCCCCGTGCCCAAATGTTAGCCCAAGACATACTGTATTAACAAAAACAAAAGCCAAAGCCACGAACTTACGAACATCGTGGGCACAGGGATAGACCACAGGTTGGCTGGACCGAATAATCCTGCGGACAACCTGGGAAACCCACCCGCTGGAATAGGGAAAAAGGGAAACCGGGTCAACCCAAAGCACATCTTTCGCCACAGAGGCTGTGGCGCGCAAATAACGGAGAAGAGCCACAACCAGACACAAAACATGATGCACCCCTAGCCAAACCAACCAAGCATCAACAACCCCTTCGGACAGCAACAGACTCATTCTTTGCCAGAAAAGAAGAATACAGCTGCAAACGAAGAAACGACCTCCAGGACTGAAAGAGCAGAAACCCGTGCCAGAGGAGAGCACGAAGCTCTCCGACCCGACCCCCAGAGGCCAATGCTAACAAGAAAAGAACTGTAGAAAAACAGTCCTGAACCGAGGGGGCCACCACTAACTGAGGAGGAGAGAGAAAAGAAAGCACCCGGTCCAATGACCAGGACAGCTCCGGCGGCACATGAGCAAGCCAGAGGTGAAACAACGCCCGAGAAAGCTTACAGAACGGAGCAGAAGTGATATCCACCCCAAATGCAAACTGCAGCAGCTCCGCCAGCACCACACAATACGAGGCAACAGTATTTGGCATAAAATGACGGTCCTGAAACAACCAAGAGAGAAAGGACAAAACAACCCGACCATAAATCGAAGACAACCTACGAAGAGACAAAGTGCCGAAAGGACCGCCAGGAAATTTCATACTGCCGTCTAGACAAAACTCGCAGGTGGAACACCATCAATTAAGCCACCTGATCACCATACAAGTGGTGATAAACCCACGTCAAAAAGACCAGACACGAAGAGCAGAGGAGAAGATCGAGCCAGTCACATATTGCACCAAACCGATCTTCTGAAAGAGGCGAAGTCGCGGGAAGACCCTTGGGTTCGGATATTGAGCAAGAAGCACCTGAAACCAGGACTGAGCCAGCCACCAAGGAAAGCCCCGAACCCGGCGAGCTAGGAAAGAACCAAATCCTTGGCGAAAAAACATGCGGATTGGCTGGGAGTCCACACCTGCCAATCATCGAGGTAAACCAGAATCCGAACCCCTCTCAGACGCAAACACATCACCACGACCCGCGTAAGGCGTGTGAACACGCGAGGTGCCAGATTCAAACCGGAAGAAGGCAACAAAAGTGGTAAGCTTGTCGCCCCACGACAAATCCGAGCCAGTCTGAACCCCAAACCCCGGATGAATGGGGACGTACCAATACGCGTCCCGGAGGTCCAGAGACACCATCCAGGCAATCCAGCGCCAAAAGCAGCCGGACCCAAGACAGAGTGGTCATCCGAAAGGAGGGGCAAAAGAACCAGGGGATCAGACAGGACAAGTCCGGTATGAATCACAGATCCGCACAGTCCCGTTTCGGAACTGAAAACCGGCGGGAAACCCACTCCAGGATGACCTGACAGAGTGCAGGGAAAGAGGTCCACCCTGCCAGCTCTGATTCCCCCAAAGGAGAAGGAACGACCTAATGCCACTGCAGACCGGAGGAAACTACCCGAAATGCCCATAAATTGTGGGACCAGGCAAGAGCAAACAGAGCGAGCCACACCCCCCCCCATTAATGGGGCAAACCGCGAAAGGGTCGACAATCCCTATGAGAGCCCGACCAATGCTCAGAGCAATCACTGCGCCGACAATTCCACAGGAAGGGCCAGTCCGGAATCTGGCACTACTGGCTTATGACGTCTGAAGGCCTGGTGTCAACTCCTGGTGCTCTAATATGCTGATGCTTCTTTTTTATTCTCAGATGTTTCACTGATTGTGTTATCACTTGTTTTTCTTTATTTATATCCACAGGCAGCTTTTATATCCATATTTACATCATAATGTAAAACTCAGACAATGATTTCTTAAATCAACATATGATAACCACATTACCTTATGGATCGTCAATAAAGGATAATTGCTGCCTAAAGACTTAATCAAATATGCAATAGTAAAGATTCCTTAACTGTAAATAAGACTGATAGTTATCAAGCTACAAGTGTACAGTGTTGGCTTGTGTCTTATGTACTCATAAAGCTCTTAAATAATAACGGTTGTCTTCCATCTTCACAAAAATATAGCGATGCTGTATATGGTTAAGTTTTACAGTACTGTATTACTGGGAAAAAGGTTGGGTTAGAAAAAGTTTCATTAAATCACCATTTTAAATATATAGAACAAATAAAATAAAACAAATTAAAAATATTTGTAAATGGAAATCACCACTTAAAATACACAAGAACAATAACAGGGAGACAAAGTATATCACAAGAAATGCCATCATCCTAATTCAGTAAACAAAAAAGTAAAGAACACCTCACACAAGACAAGTGGTTACAAATCCCATAAAGTGACTATCAAGCATTAGCTGTGGTTAAGTGCAAGTTATCTACAAGTCATGAAAATGATCTTCCCATATTATACAGCAACCACCACATAGGTGTACACACAGGCATGCATCTAAGCTACAGAAATCCCAAAACAATTAACAATTTCCAACCATTGGTCTAAAATTTTACACTCCAGATTTTCACTATTCCATCATGGCCAGCAGACAAGACTCGTTCGTTGTCAAGCCACAACAAGCCAGTGACTTGTGCTTGTGGATGAGAATCTGTTGGATAAGTAGGTGCAATGTAGGTAAGATATACAGTAATATTACAACCAAAGAAATTAACTACAATGGCTATAAAATTAAAAATTTAAATCTAAAAAAAAATAAAAGCACATTACCCATAAATAACTGAAAATAATTATTCAATACCAGAGAACTTCAAATGCAAACAATAAACTACACATTATAAACCTTGGCCAAGTGAGGGAGATATACCCCGTCTCATGTCAGCATCACTCAAAATTGAAAATATTGTAAACATTCTTTACAAGAAGTTCCCCCTTTTCCTTTTATACTGTACAAATGCAGGTACAGTGGATTCTTGCTTGAAGGTAAGGTATGGTAATTATCAAAAGAAGGCACCAAACCGGGAAGGCTATGTAGCACCATCAAAGTGTGAAATAATCAGAGCGCGCTAAATATCACCAAGAATGCCAATACGAGAACAAAAACGCATAAGGCGAACGACATCAAAAGTATCTGATTCACCTAGAATTCTATCGAGGGACAAGTAACCGCGAGGGACGGTCGGAAAGCAAGACACACGCTCATCCTGGAAGTCAGGACATTCAACAAGGATATGCACAACTGTAAGAGGGACAATGCAATTCGGACAATAAGGAGCAGGGTGGCGCTCCATTAAGTGACCGTGGGTAAAGCAAGTATGACCAACCTGCAGCCGTGCCAAAGCAGTTTCCCACCGCCGGGTACGGTGGCAGGAGGAAGGCCACGAGGACACACTACGTTTGAGAGTACGCAGCTTGTTACTAACCACAGAGGACCAACAACCCTGCCAACAGGCAAGAATGGAGGAATGAATAACAGGATAAAAGTCGGAATAAGGAATACCTTTACCGGAGATGGGACAAGAACGGATAGCTTCCTTAGCGGCAGCATCCGCACGCTCATTGAAAGAAACACCAATATGGCTGGGAACCCAGCAAAACTCTACTGATTTAAATTTACTAGAAATAAGAAACAGCCAATGTTGAATCTCGATGACCACCGGATGGACAGGATTAAAGGACCCTAGAGCCATGAGGGCACTACGAGAGTCAACTACAACCACAAAGGAGGAATGAGAATGAGAAAGCAAGAGACGAAGAGCATAGAGAATAGCATAAAGTTCTGCCGTAAAGACGCTAGCCTCCGAAGGGAGGCGACACATATAAGTACGGTCAGGAAAAACAACAGAGTAGCCCACACCGTCCACAGACTTAGACCCATCGGTGAAGATGGAAATAGTGGGAGTGCGAAGAAAAGTGCTCAAGGAAGAGGCTTTTCAGAATTGTAGGAGGGGTAAAGGCTTTATTAATACAAGTCAAGGATGTACAAAACTTGGGAAGGGGGGACTCTCCACGGAGGTAAGGAAGGAACAATACCAGGAGAAACATTAGAAATATGAGCAGAAAGAGAATCCTGTAAACCGAGATAACCGGACAGAAAGTGGGAGACAATGAAGAGGAACAGGAACTACAGGAGGAGGAAAAGTCAATGCACGACAGAGGCGAGAGGAAGGATGTTGGAAGGACCGCGCAAAATAGTGAAGACAGTAGCGATCACGGCGGTCCTGAAGAGAGAGAAAGCCAGTGTCAACATACAAACTGAGGGTGGGAGTTGAACGAAAGGCACCAGAGCAGAGACGCAACCCAGTATGGTGCAAAGCATCAAGACGGCGAAGAGTAGGAGGAGAAGCAGAAGAGTATGCAGGGCAACCATAATCGAGTTTAGACAGGACGAGAGAGGAGTGCAAATAGAGGAGTGTGCGCCTATCCGCTCCCCAAGAAGTATGGGACAAAACCTTAAGGAGATTAAGGGCCTTAGAGCATTCAACTCGGAGGTAAGAGATATGGGCTGACCAAGACAAACGAGTGTCAAAGACTAACCCCAAAAGCTTTGCGGAATCCCTGTACACAATGGGATGACCATAAAGCGACAAAGAGGGACGAAGAACGACATGCTTCCGAGTAAAAGTCATAGCACAAGTCTTAGACGCAGAGAACTTGAAGCCATGATCAGTGGCCCAAGACGACACGGCATCAATCGCAAGTTGAAGCCGCCGTTGAAGGAGAGGTGGATCATCACCCTGACAGCAAAGGGTAAGATCATCAACATAGAGAGCAGAGAAGACGCCAGAAGGAAGAGAGGAAAGAAGACCGTTGAGGGCAATTAGCAATTGCAAGGGCAATTAGAAAAAGAGTAGTGCTCAGAACACTACCCTGGGGTACACCCTCATACTGCTGAAAAGGGGCAGAGAGCAGTACCAAGTCGCACACGAAAGGAACGACGAGAGAGGAAGCTCTGGAGGAAGAGAGGGAGGTTCCCACGAAGGCCAAAAGAATGAAGTCGAGACAGAATATGATACCGCCAGGTAGTGTCGTAAGCCTTTTCCAGGTCAAAAAGGACGGCAACAACGGAGGTCTTCGCAGCAAAAGCAGTACGAATATAGACCTCCAAATTCACCAGGACATCCGTTGTGCTGCGGCACTTGAGAAAACCAAATTGAGAAGGGGCGAGGTGGTGATAGTGTTCTAAGAACCACATCAAACGAACGTTAACCATACGTTCAAAGAGCTTAAGAACATAAGAACAAAGGTAACTGCAGAAGGCCTATTGGCCCATACGAGGCAGCTCCTATCTATAACCACCCAATCCCACTCATATACTTGTCCAACCCGCGCTTGAAACACTCGAAGGACCCCACCTCCACCACGCCACGCGGCAACTGGTTCCACAAATCAACAACCCTGTTACTGAACCAGTATTTACCCAAGTCTTTCCTAAATCTAAACTTATCCAATTTATACCCATTGTTTCGTGTTCTGTCTTGTGTTGATATTTTTAATACCCTATTAATATCCCCCCTGTTATGTCCATTCATCCACTTGTAAACCATGTCACCCCTAACTCTTCGCCTTTCCAGTGAATGCAACTTAAGCTTTGTTAATCTTTCTTCATATGAATGAATGGGTATGAGTGATATACATAATAATACAATGATTTAACGTGATTCTTGCATGCCAAGTTAATTTTTAGCTGTAGATTAAGCCTAATATTGGCATGCATGAATATTATTTTTGTTGCCGTTTTATCTATTGGGGTAGTTAATTTTATTTAACCATTATTGCTGGCATAATGTTACTTAATTCTTGTACTGAATTTGGAGTATATTTATCTCTCTGTTCAGATCTTCAAGCTAAACAGTTACAGTACATGGTGTTAGCAACCATTATTTGTAATATTTGTGTGTGGATTATTGGGGCAGATGGTTGTATTTTCAGTCTATTACTAGCGTTAAGTCTTGTCTGCGGGTTTACATTTCTTATTATGTACAGTGGCACCTCGATTAACGAGTTTAATCCATTCTGGCACCGAGCTCATTATGTGGAAAACTCGTCTTAAACAAATTTCCCCACTTAAAATAAAGGAAATAAATTTAATCCGTTCCACTCCCAAAAACATCCATACCTGTATGACATTTTATAATGTAATTTTTTTTTTTTTTGAGATATATACAAGAGTTGTTACATTCTTGAACAGCCACTAGTACGCATAGCGTTTCGGGCAAGTCCTTAATCCTATGGTCCCTGGAATACGATCCCAGCCGCGAACAATCGTTTTTTCATCCAAGTACACATTTTACTGTTGCGTTAAACAGAGACTACAGTTAAGGATTTGCGCCCAGTAAATCCTCCCTGGTTAGGATACGAACCCATGACATAGCACTCGCGGAACGCCAGGCGAGTGTCTTACCATTACACCACGGAGACTGTAAAACTACACATGTAATTTTAAATGTTTTGTTGTACTGTTTTCATGTTTACTTTACCTTATGAAGAGTCGTTGCTGGCTTGAGGGAGACGATGGGGAGGTGGGAAGGAGGAGAGGGGTTATGGTGTGGAAGGAGAATCCACCTTTGAGTCAGGCGGCCTCTCTCTTCTTGGGAATTTCACCCCACTGGGACCGGGCTGTGGTTCACTATCACTTGCTGGTCTTTACTTTAGCAAAGAATGAGTCTATTGACAATAGCTTTTTGTCTTTGTTTTTAGGATATCCCTAAAACGAGACGGCAAATTGTCATTAAACACGTTCACACACCGGGTTGTCAGTGCTTTATCAGGGTGATGCTTTTCCAAGAATGCAGTCACCTTTTCAAACATTCCCAACACTTCCCTGATCTCACTGGAAGAGGCAGCATCCTCCCTTACCTCCTCATCCCCTTACTAATGGTGCAAATTGTATATGAGAACCTACCATACTCCCTTGTGAGATCAGTCACACGGACACCACGCTCATGCTTTGCTATAATTTCCTTCTTCAAATTCACAGTAATTCTCTCTTTCTTCCTCTTGACAACACTATCTTTAGCAAGCAGCTTCTTTGGCGACATCGTGCGTCACAAATTGTAGTCACAAAACAAAATAAAAACAAGGAAAAGCACAAATAAATGCAGAGGGATGCTTGTCGTGCGCGATACATCAACAATACTGGCGTCGGAGGCGTCCGAGAATTTGCGAGAACCCGCGAGACTCTAGGAAGCACCATGTGGTTTTGCTCGTTAACCACTTTACTGCGCCAACAGAGTATTCTCGGTTGGCGGGAAACTGCGCTAACAGAGAAAACTCTGATTTTTCTGTACCAATTCTAAATGTGTACGAGGTTGGTTGTGTACGAAATGGACTCGTAGGACCTCCAGTGAGAGGCAGCCATCTTGGAAAAAATTCCCAGAATGCCCTAGGGTTGCTGGCTGGGTTAGTACTGAATGAGCAACCATGGGTGGCGCACGCACCTCTGCCTCCCAAACACCTGTCCGACGTGGTGTTGAAAGATAACGCTCTGTCGGTGAAATTCAAACCTTATTGTTTGAAGAACATAAGGGTCATAATATTGGTGAAGCTTGGCACAGTAAGGACCTAACACAAAGGTCGGATGCAAATGATACAGCACCTATGAGGACGATACAGGGAGAGTGTCCAGTTGTAGCTCTGAGCGTCACCCTTGCAATCCTATGCTATCTCCAATTTATTAAGATGATACATAGATGAATTGTTTTCTGCGTTCAGTGATGATGCATCTGATACAAGTAGCATAGATGAACAGTGTTAGCAGCTTCCATGGTGGTGTTTTCCATAGATATTTTCAAGAATACCTGAATCTCTTCCTAACTGACGGACACTCTTTGAGGCTAGCTGAATCTCTTTCTGTGTGGGACCATATAAAGCGATCTTTTCAAGACTACCTTACAAATTGATCTTTTCCTATAATCTTTTCAATACTACCTTATGCTTTACAAGCTTGGCTACATACAACCTACAAGTACTAATGCCAAGGGTGTACGTAAGTGCGTTATTTGCAAGCACACAGAATGAAGAAACAGGAAGCGAAAATTTATCAATACCTGGTGCACTGAGAGCGAAGTCGGGCTGTGTACCATGGACTACTTCGTTGATTATTACTCACTTCCGAAATACTGAATGTGTAATACAGTGTGTTACCGTGTAGTGTGTGAAACTGTACATAATGTAATTTCAGTGAATTTTTAACAGGTAATATTGCGACAACATTACTGACATGTATCACAGTTCCATGGAACATTATGAACATTCTACTGTATACATATTGTAAAGGACACAAATATGCATCATATACGATAAAAAAACAAAACCGCATTGGAAATACATAAAACAAATAATCAAAAATATATTTGTGGCAACACCTGGTGCTTGAATGGCCCGTGCGACTGTGTCTGGGTGCGACTGTGTCTGGGCGATTCACGCACGGGCGACCAGGCCTTGATAACGTCACAGCGCACCTTGTCCATGTCCCCACAGCCAAAGTAAGTGGAATTTAGCAATTATTTTTACATAGACATGTTCAGGGAAGGGAATTTATCATTTTATGAAGAAAAAAGAATTTTTGGGGAACACTTTATATCAAGCGGACCGGGGGAATTTCACAATAAACTCTGCGCAGCATGGTGGTTAATAGAGGTGAAGCTCGTCAATAGACAAATTTGCTGCGAGTGGCTCACTCGTTACTCGAAATACTCGTAGATAGAGCCGCTCGTTAATCGATGTGCCACTGTATTTATATTTTGCGAGACACTTAAGCTATCCCCTGCTGACTTGCTCAAGAGTAACCTCGTCAATTATAAGTAAATTCAAGGGTACTGCGAATCATCATCATCTCACCATTACATGTTTCACAGAAAGTAAACAAACTTCTTTTAATAAAATGGATATTTTTCTTAAGTCAAACAGTGCATAAATTGAAGTACCCATTTATACATTTATGCTACAAATCACCATTTTATGTTCAGTGTCGAGAAGGTGCAATGTGCAGTGGCAGTGCCACTGAAGTTTATGACAAAGTTGGAACCACTTAGTTTTTAGTTCTCCGAGGTTCATTTGGGGGAAGACTGGTTCCTCTAGGTGACTGTAGATCAAAAACTAAAGTGAGCTCTGACAACAGTCATAACAAAATGTACCTTGCCTTCAGTAGATGGTATGTGTGTGTTGTCAAAGTAGCTATGACATGCACCTTAGTTATCTTATAACAAAAATCCAAGATATAGAATATTTTTAAGTTCTTACAAACTTACCACAGTAAGAGTATCAGTTTACCTAGCGGTAAACCCTTTTCCAAATAGTAAGCAAAAATAAAATTAATAATTACAATAAATTATTCAAATGCCCCTTACTCTTTATGATGATGTGCTTGTTGGGGTGATTTATGTTCCAAATGATTATCATTGTGTCAAGAGCACCGCTGGCCACCAGTTGACTGTCAGGGCTCCATGCCACTGTGTTGATCCTTGCATTGTGAAATCCCCATTCTATCTTGTTGAACTTCTCATATGAAGGCAGCGAGTAAACAACCACCTGAAACATTTAAAATTATTATCTCTAATGTATAATACAATTATGTAATGGGAATAAAATAGTGCTGCAATTTAATGTTTAAATATTAAATTTAAAGAAATAAATCTACCTCATAAAAGAAATTGGCATGTGTACTTTTTCTGAGCTGAAACTCCACAAAGCTGAAGCTCAACCCCTGCAAGCTCAGCTAGGTGAATAAAGATGCTTTCTGAGCCTGGAACCATATTGACTACCAGAAAAATGTCAGTAAACAAAACTATAATGACCTTTCTCCCTAATCAGAATAAGGATATTATACGTGCATATGGTCTTATTAGTGATGATTCTAGCATTGAATGTAATGAAATACCTCTTTCTGGTGGACCCCTCTGAATCTTGGAGCTACCAACCAGGAATCCTCCAAACTTTGAAATTGAACTTGAAATTTAAATAAGTTTATCGAGATGTCAATATACACAATAGGATGAGGTAGCTCAAACTGTTCTCACCCTGTTAAATATAACATTTTCAAATATATTTACACACACACGGAGCGGGACCAAAGAGCCAGAGCTCAACCCCTGCAAGCACAACTGGGTGAGCACACAAATTTTCAAATATATTTACACACATTTTCAAATATATTTACAAACTTATAAATTGGTATATACAATTTTCATGTTCTGAAAATTGTATATACCAACATAAATGGAGTGAGATAACAAAAATTGGAGCTGAAAGATATAATTCAGCTTAAGGTCCCAGATATTGTTACATTAAAAAAAAAAAAAAAAAAAAAAAAAAAAAAAAAAAAAAAAAAGATGAAACAAAGAAAATATTTTAAATGAAGTCGTATTCCCAAGGGGCTACTCAGTTTGGAGATGTGACAGGAAAATTAGGAAGGGCGGAAAGGAGTGGCTGTGCTGGTGAAAGAACACCTGAAGGTAAGAGTTAATACTTGATAACACTAGAGAAGTTGACATAATGGCATTGCAGGTGTGGATGCAGGACCATAAAACAGGATTGGTTCAACAGAAATTGTGAGAGGGCCAGAGACCAAGACACAAAAATGGAATCTATATAGGAAGAGGCCAAAACCTCCCAGACACTTTAGTGATACAAAGATGTGAGAAACAATTACACAGCAGTGAGGAGAGAGGCAGAAAGAGATGTTGAAAAAGGCATAGACATATGTAAAACAGAACCAGGCCTATTCTATAAATTAATAAACAACAAATTGCAGGTAAAGGATAATATTCAGATTGAAAAAGGGAAACAGATTCACAGAAAATGAAAAGGAAATGTGTGAAACATTAAAATGAAAAGTTCCAAGGTGTGTACAAAATAAAATCTTCAGGGAACCAGACACAATAAGAATTCCAGAGAACAACATAGGTTAGTTTTCTCCAGGTAGAACACCCGGAGAAAAATGATTTAATATCAGACCGCCAGTATGGTTTTCAATCTGGAAGATCCTGTGTAACGAATTTATTCAGTTTCTATTGCCCCAAGCCAGGCATGGGGTGGGAGTTGCCAAAGATATTTTTACATATCTATTTCAATGTGATTTTCTTGCATGTTTTTGCACTAATATTATTCAATAGTGTGCCTTTTGAGAAATTTATATACAGTTATAAAATGTGTGGAATATCAGAATGCTCAAATATATTTGTGCCACTAATATGTAATTACCTAAATGAAGTTACAGGATGAGGACTACACTCCTGGTGTCCCATCTTCCCAGCACTCTGTCATATAACGCTTTGAAATTACTGACAGGTTTGGCCTCCACCACCACCACACCTAACTTGTTCCAACTGTCTACCACTCTGTTTGCACAAGTGAATTTTCTTATATTTGTTTGGAAGCTTTGTTTAATTAGCTTAAATCTATTATCTCTTGTTCTTGAAGTTCTAGGTCTCGGGAATTCATTCTTATCAATTTTATCAATTCCTGTTATTCAAAGAAAATATTGTAAATGAGGTTGTATTCCCGAGGGACTACTCAATTTGGAGAGTGACAGAAAAACTACGAAGGGTGTAGGCACTCGCCTACTTGTGCTTGCAGGGGTTGAACTTTGGCTCTTTGGTCACACCTCTCAACTGTTAATCAACTGGTGTACAGTTTCTTGAGCCTATTGGGCTCTATCATATCTACATTTGAAACTGTATGAAGTCTGCCTAACTCTGTTAAGTAGTGTCTTTGTCCACCCTGTCAATTCCTCTGAGAATTTTATAGGTGGTGATTATATCTCCCCTAACTCTTGTCTTTCAGGGACGTGAGGTTTAATTCCTGTTGTCTTTCCTCATAACTCACACCTCTCAGCCCTGGGACTAGTCTGGTGGCATGCTTTTGAATCTTCTCGAACTTTGTCGTGTGTTAACTACGTATGGACCTCAGGCTGGAGCTGCATACTCCAGGATTGGTCTGACATATGTGGTATACAAGGTTCTGAATGATTCCCTGTTAGTTTCTAAAGGCAGTTCTTATGTTGTCCAATCTATCATATGATGCTGCTGATATCCTTTTGATGTGGGCTTCTTGTAATTACCTAAGTGTAGTTACAGGATGAGAGCTTCGCTCATGGTGTCCCATCTACCCAGCACTGTCATATAACGCTTTGAAATTACTGCCAGTTTTGGCCTCCACCATCTTCTCTCCTAACTTGTTCCAACCATCTACCACTCTGTGAAGGTGAATTTTCTTATAATTCTTCGGAAGCTTTGTTTAGTTGGTTTAAATATATGAACTCTTGTTCTTAAAATTCCAGGTCTCAGGAATTTATTCCTATCAATTTTATCGATTCCTGTTACTATTTTGTACCTTAGTGATCATATCGTCTCTTTCCTCTATCTTCTAGTTTTGGCATATTTAAGCCTCTATCCTCTACTCGTATCTCTTGTCCTTCAGTTCTGGAGTCATTTAGTTAATGAGTGATCATTTCTTGGAGATTAAATATGCTTTGTGTTATAATTTAGAAGAGAATGGGAATATTTAAACAGCCGATTCCAAATTTGGAATCATCTGTTTGAATATCCCCATTCTTTTCTAAATTAAATCATGAGGGACTAAAAATTTCAGAATGACCAACTAATTTGGCCAAAACAACTTGGATATATTACTGACAAAAAAGTAATATTACCTTACCTTACGATTTGCATCACAGGCAACAAGGAAGCGATTATCTGGAGAGTAGGATAAATCAGTAACAGGCCCTAGATGTTCCAAGGTAGTTTTCTGAAATGAAGTTATAGGGGGTTTCATTTAATAATTATAAATTGTGTGTTAAAAAGTTATATCGCAATCTATCAAGTTATTAACAGAGGAATAAATTATTACTAACAGCACGAGACACACAAAATTCTGATCACTACAAGAAGTGTCCTTAATATGCAAAAGTGGTATGACAGATATACAAGAATTGTATACTAATGTTTACTTTGTTAAAACCATCACTAATATTACCCTAGGGTAATACAAACCTGTGTTAAAGTGGAACCACTAAGTGTGTATACATGGATAAGGTTGTCAGCACCTCCTACTGCCACTTCATTGTTGCCATCCGTGGAGGCTGATACGCACAGACCATCCCAATCAATAGGTAAACTTCCAACTTTCTTGTCGTTGTGTATAATACAAATCTTGAAGGAAAATTGAAGTCATTTCAAAAATTACATTAAAATACACTAAAGATACATCTAGGTAAAACATATCCATTTTATGTCAGATGTTACCTATACTGAGATAAGACAATCACTGTAATTGTATGATAAGAGAAATGCCTACAAGCAGGATTGTAAGTGGGCGAGGGAACACCTGACAAGATGGGTTTACTATCATAATCTTCCATGTCTTCCATCCAACACATTGCCCAATCCCTATATAATTTATTTTCCATAAACCCTAAACTTTTGGAGCTATAAATTTTTGTTGTCTAAATTTGCGCGCACAGTATTTCAAATGCCATATTGACAATTTTTTTTTTACAGTAAACTATACTGAAAACCTATATTCTAAATATATGAAAATGAAGATCATATGCTATTCTGAGAGTATAATAACAACAAATGAACAATTGGTGATATTTTATATTTTTGATGCTGATTTCAAACCCTTAAGTTTCCAATACTCAATTTTATAATTATTTTGTATTTTCTTCTTTTTTAAGTTACATTGGTATGATCTAGACATAGTTGGAGCATTTGCCTAGTAGATTATGCACAAAACACTTGAAAGCTTTTCAGCAAATATTAAAAAGTGAGCTCTATGTCTGACTTCATAATGACGTTTTGCGCAGCTTAAGGGTTAATGACACGTTCACTTTAAAATGCTATAATGACAACATTTTATCACCATACTTCAAAAAAGCACAAGTAGTATTTTTACTATTGGATTTGTAACAAATTCCATTCTTTCTCACATATAACGAATCATGAATGTTTACAAATTTTCAAAACAGCTACTTCATCAAGCAGGACCTGTACCTCCATTTGCTCTCATAATACACAGCCCATAATGTTTTACCAGCTTCATCGATCTATACATTTGATATGAAACTTATAATTAAACATAATAGTGTTTATACAAGAAACTCACCTCTTTTGTTGTGACAGCAATAATATCATCAGCAAGGGCAGCAATCATCTTGGGTTGGGAACCAAGGGAAATAGAAACACCAGTATACACTCGTTCAACAGGATCTGACAAAACATTTGGAAAAGTTCAGTTCACTAAAGAATGTAGTTCAATAACATTAAATGCTCTTTTTAAGTATTTCATGAAGTTTCTCATATTACCTCTTACTCTAATTCTTCTACTCTACTATTACTGCTAGTTCTTACTCATATTAATGGTAGTTCAATATTATACTTTAACTTTTATTTATAAATTCAATGAACAATTTTACAAAATCAAAAATTATTAAATTATATTTTATTACATATCAAAACATGTTCATTGGATCAATCAAAATGAGTGTTGTTGCACGCCATCAACTTACCAATGACTTTAATACTATCATCAATGCCAGCGGTGTAAACAACATTGTCCTTGACAACCAGTCCACTAACATGATTCCCATGACCTTTGCCACCAATACGATCATTTTCACCTATTTATGGATAAATAAGAATGGAATATAAATATTATACATAGCATGTAAAATGCAGATACAGTACACTTATCAAATTTGTATACCCAGCATTAAAACTTAATTGCCACAATATATTTTCAACCGTACACTTCTTAAAGATAGCAAACCCAGGTCACCAACTGGTCTGATACAGCAAACATAGCTGACTGCAAACTATAAGACAGCAGCAATGCTCCAGCTCATCAAAACTTTCCCCCAACACAATTAGGTAATAGCAATGGGCTGGAATATCTCCAGAGTACCAAAACACTCAAAACATTGTACATAATCAATACACTGTATAATTACAAGAAATTAATGAAGACTTTACATAAGCAAATTCATGGGGTTAGCCTGGCTCAAACTTACTTTGTATATACAGCTTTATAACTAATTTATAATGTTTCATAAAGAAATGGGGACCTCCTGGAGATCTTGACTGCAAGTGTAGTGCCGATACTGAAGAAAGGCGAGACAAACGCACAGCCTTAAACTACAAACCTACTTCACTAATGTGCATGCCACATAACATACTGGAGCAGATAATCATAAAGAGGATTGTAGGACAACAATCCTCTTTATCATTATCTGAGAAAGCATGAATTTAAATAGGCAGGGCATGCAAAATATATCCGATTGAATTTTACAACAGAGCCACACACACACATAACAACATTGCAGGTCTGGAATCAAGATGATAAACTGATAATTGTAAATGCTTACAGCTCACCAGCAGGCAACACATGGACAAAGGAAGAACTGGATGACAAACAAGAGGGCCTCATAATGGTCATGAGATTATAGTACAAGCAGATAAAGATAAATCATGACTATTGATACTGGGGACGTCAACTTTAAACCAATAGACTGGGAGACCTATGAAGCAAGAATGGAGGACTTTTGGACATGCAGATTTGTAAACTTCATTCTGCATACATTCTTGTATCAACACGTCAAGCAGGCCACAAGAATGAGGGAAGGGAATGTACCGTCAGTACTGGATCTAGTATTCACCAGGACAGAAGAAGAGATATTTGATACCCAGTACCTTCCTCCCTTGGGAAAGAGTGATCATGTCCTGTTAGACATTAAATATGCTTTAAGATATCTAGAAGAAAATGGGGACATTGAAGCAGTTAATAAACTCAATTCCAAGAGGACACTATGGGGAACTTCACAAAATTTTTAACGAGTGTAAATAGACAGACTTGTTACTAGGCAGGGAAGTAAATGACATGTATGCCAAATTTTGCAAAATATACGATGAAGGCACACAAACATTCATACCTAAACAGAGATGCAGGGCAAGAAAACAGGATTGGTTCATCAGAAATTGAGAGAGGGCCAGAGACCAAGACACAAAAATGGATTCAGTATAGGAAGTGGGCAAACCCTCAAAACATACCAGCGATATAAAGATGTGAGAAACAACTACACAGCAGTAAGGAGGGGCAGAAAATTTGAAAAAAGGGATAGCAGACAAATGTAAAACAGAACCAGGCCTATTCTACAAATTCATAAACAACAAATTGCAGGTAAAGGATAATATCCAGAGGTTGAAAATGGTTAACAGATTCACGGAAAACGAAAAGGAAATGTGTGAAACATTAAATGAAAAGTTCCGAAGTGTATTTGTACAAAATGAAATCTTCAGAGAACCAGAAACAATAAGAATTTCAGAGAACATAGAGCGTATAGAGGTGTCTAGAGATGGAGTGGAAAATATGCTCAAAGAGCTAAGTAAGAACAAAGAAGTTGGCACCAAACCACCATGGGTTCTGAGAGAATGTGCATCTGAGCTCAAAATTTCACTTCACTTGATTTTTCAAGCATCCCTGTGTACAGGAGTCATAGCAGACATGTGGAAAAAGTCTAACATAGTTCCAATCTACAAAACTGGCGGGAAGAACCCCTCAATTATAGATCTGTATCGTTGACAAGTGTAATAGTCAAAATATTGGAAAAAATAATTAACATTAAATAGGTAGAACACCTGGAGACAAACGATATAATAATATCAGACAGGCAGTATGGTTTTCAATCTGAAAGATCCTGTGTAACAAATTTGCTCAGTTTCTATGATCGAGCCACAGAGATTTTACAGGAAAGACATGGTTGGGTTGACTGCATCTATCTGGACACCATCCAGGCACCCGGCGCCAAAAGCAGCCGATCCCGAGACAGAGTGGTCATCTGAAAGGAGGGGCAAAAGACCCAGGGGTTCAGATGGGACAAGTTCAGAATGAATCGCAGATCCGCACAGTCTCATTTCAGAATTGAAAACAGGTGGGAAACCCACCTGAGAGATGTTGTTTCGACCATGCCCATATGAACCCACTCCAGGATAACCTGACAGAGTGCAGGGAAAGAGGCTTGCCCTGCCAGCTCTGATCCCCCAGGAGGAGGAAGAACAACCCAACGCCATCGCAGGCCGGAGGAAATGACCCGAAATGCTCACAAATCGTGGGACCAGGCAAAAGCAAACAGTCCAAGCCTCCCCCCTGCTCCCTCGTCAACGGGGCGAACTGCTAAAGGGCCGGCGACCCCTACAACAGCCCGACCAAAAGCTCAAAGCGATCACTGCGCCAATGGCTCCGCAGGAGGGGCTGGTCCCGAATTTGGCACTACTGGCTTATGACGACCGAAGGAACCCTGAGAACTGGCAGGAACCCCTCCCCCCCTGGAGAACCAACAAATCTGACATAGGCGTGCAACTAGATGAAGCCACCTACAGAAAATGCACCACCGCAGATTCTGCAAACAACAATGGACAAAAAGGAGACGAAAATCTTGGAGCCAGGGCCCGTGCAGATTCCAAAGAGTAGACGAGCACTGCCTGTCGGCACACGAGGTGAGAAGCAAAGAACAGACCCACCACCACCTTCAGAATTAGTGCAAACAAATTCAACAAGGCAGCCGACGCCTGAGCTGCCGAAGCAAACACACCGGATACTGGCCAGTGTGTTTTTCCGGACACTGGATCCAAGTTCCTCCACATCCTTCCCGAGCCAGTCCGAAGACAGCTTCAGTAGGAAAAAGAAGCACAAGACCTCAGCCAAATGCCCACAGGTGCACAAAACCTCAGCCACCAGGGACGCCGAAAAGGAGAGAAGCTGCACCTGGCCGACATCACAAGGAAGGACAGGGACGAACAGGCACACATTGAGGTGCTCAAACTCGCCCCCCCCCCAGGCAAACCTGAACGACCGTAGTCAACTCCACCATTCTAGCTGTGGGCCCCCCCCCCACAGCTAGATCTCTCTTCATACAAAATTTAGTAAGTACTGATTTTAAAACTGTAAAGACATTATCAAGTCCCTACATTCATTTTATGTCCCATACTTAAGCCTGTCATATTTCTTACCGGTAATTGTTCTGCCCTCCTCTTGTTCCTATAGAGTACTGTCATTAAGAAATACATACCTGTACCATTATTAAAACTTCAGTATTCCAATGACAGTGAAATACATCATCCATACTCTGGCAGTAAACATTCCAATGACACTAAAATGAGTAATCTGACTGCTATTCATAAACATTCATATATTCATCGATGTCATGCATAATCTATTGTATATATACTTTTGTTCTTTAGAGAATTCTAACAAATAAAAAATAATTCTAAAATTGAATATTGAAAACTTCAAATTTCAAATCAGATTAAAAAATCTAAACTATCACCAATATTTTATTTGGTGTTATTATGCTCTCATATGATCTTCATTTTCATATGGCATATGATCTTTATTTTCATCAAATTAGAATGTAGGTTTTCAGTATACAGTATAATATAGTGGCGCCTCGATTAACGAGTTTCATCCGTTCCGGCACAGAGATCGTCATGTGGAAAACTCGTCTTGCAAAACAACAACAAAACTGTCGTCGGAGGTGTCCGAGAACCAGCGGGAACACTCGTTAATTGAGTGAAAGCTCGTCAGTCAAGACATTTTCTGCAAGTGGCTTGCTCGTTACTCGAAATGCTCATAACTGGAGCCACTCATCACTCGAGGTTCCACTGTACTTTACTGTAAAAAAAAATCGTCAAGATGGCATTTGAAATATGCACCAAATTTAGAAAAAAAGTACAACTCCAAATGATAAGGGTTTATGAAAAATCCATTCTCAAGGGATTGTAGAACAGACAGCTGAGCACACAATGTCAAAATGGTAAGAATCGGTCAGAAACTGAAATTTTAGAAGCCACTGAAGGTTGAAACTCTAGTTTTAGAGATAAAGTTGAAGTTATCGACAATGAATAAAGGTAGTTTGAATTCGTTAATTTACTTGTATGTTTTAATAAACATTGCTTGGAATTCGTACTCAAATATGTGAAAGTTGTAGGTCAAAATGTGTCGAAATGAAGTCAAGAAAAAATAACTCCCCCCAAAAAAACAAAATATAGGGATAATTATAATGATTTAGGAGGATATATTTAGTGTATACCTTATATAAGTAAAAAAGCCCTAATCTGCTCCTCAATCATCAAAAAACCTAAGTAGACAAAGAAAATAGTTTGAAATCTGATAAAATCAGCGAAAATAATTTAGTCCCAAGTTCTGAGAGTTGTGACTGATTTATTTGTTGACTAATTTCATTCAATCTTCACATAGTTAGGTCCAGGTATGCACTCTCCAGGATGTAAAGGTTACAACAAAATCAGATAAAAAAAAAAAAAAAAAAAAAAAATTATGGACATTGATGAAAGTAACTGATAACAACATTGGGCAATGTATTTATATGATATATAACAAAATACAGCATAATAACATACTTATTATTATTTGTGTTGTTATATATTACTCAGCAATGCTATAAAGGCACCAGTTGCATATCCACTCTGTGGGCACTTCTTACTACTATTCTTCTTTGTGCATCAGACAGGTGCTTGCATCTCCTTATTGCATTATCCATCAGTTCCAGTTAATAGGAGCTATTCTCCTTATCAACAAAACATTCTTCTTTTTAAAAAATTCATCTAAATCAATTTCTGAAAATATTTTTATGAAAATTTCATGACCCTGAAGACAATAAGTTGAAGATTTGTTTAACATTTTTAAGTAATTTTTACATAATTTGAATAGTTTTCGCTTCTTGACTCAAAAGGATGTGCTGTTTAAGGATTAAGACAATCCAATTACATCCCGTTTTCCCAGTCATGATGAAAACATGCAGTGTGTCAATAAATTAAAGAAAATAAATACCAAGACAGCAGGCCAATGCTCATCAGGTTTTGGGCAAGTGTATGATGATATTTACCAGTAGCAACATCCCAAACAGTAACAGTCCCATCAACTGCTGTTGTGTAGAGACTGCTGCAGTCAGATGAAAGAGCCACCCTTGTAATGGGCTTGTTGTGTCCCTGAAAGATACATATATTAATATACAGGACCTGATCCAGTGAATAATAAGAGAAATTTGTAAGGGTTCTTCTTGAACTTGAGCTACTTCCTGGGGATGTGTAACAAAAAGGAGGCCTGGTCGAGTACCGGGCCGCGGGGACGCTAAGCCCAGAAATCATCTCAAGATAGGACAGTTATAATAGGCAAATTTCAAAATATCCCTCTCCTGGTCACAAAAGCAAAGTTTGAGAGAATATTGGACATTCTATACCTTGGAGACATAAGCAATTAGTAATCCTTACTACCCAGGAAAAAAAATATACTAACATTTTTTACACAGAGAAAATAGATATAATAGATAAATAAGTTTGAATGGATAGGAGCTTCATTGTACAGGCAAACCAGGCCTTCTGCAGTTTCCTTTATTATGTTCTTATGAAATGTTGTACATTTAAGCAGATTCACTAACTCCATACTGAATAGTGAATAATCACCCTCCAGAATCCTACCTTATTAACTTTCATCACTTACAACCTCTTTCATTCCTCATTTATTCTTCTAATGTTCCACAGAGCCTATCTCTGCTTTCCAGGGCCTGGGAAGCTCTGCAGACAATTTTACCCACTGTAGGGAGGAATTTGTAAGATTGGTCCCCAGCATAGTCCACCACCCCCCTGTACCAGTGTGGGTACAGGGGGTGGTGCGAGGACGAGTACACAAGTGGGGTGTAATGGGGTCACCACATCCATATGTAACAAGATCAAATTGACTTGTACAAATATTATTCATTAGGGATATACATTGCATTGAGTGCATAAGAGCATACAAGACTGAGTCATATATTTAAAGTGGAGTGCTTAAGCAATTTAGGTACTCTAGTCGAACAGAGAACACAAGAGGCGCCAATTGTGTTAAGAAAAACATGAAATCTACACTAATTGTATGTAAGTTTTTGCAAGTAAAGGCAAAGTTATCTACAAATTAAGTTTACTTACAACTGAAGTTTTAAGAAAAATTCAAGAAAAAACTTGAATAAGAGGACTAAATTTAAATAAAAGACTGGAACAAAACACAATACAAGCAATTACCAGAGATCAGATACACAACATGAGTAGCTAACAATTAAATGAGTTGGGCACAGAACATATCATAAAGGCAAGGAAAGCTAAGGAAATGAACAAGACACTGCACAATGACAAGTGTTACAGCATTTTAACCTTTAATATTAAAGTACATTGGGTAGTGAATAATCAGAAATGATAAACTTAAATTATAACATGAAATTGCCATTTGATGCAAAATCAGAAAGTACTTTACCTTTATAATTCTCTTTGGCTTAGTGGGATTGGCTGGGTCAAGATAGTTAATGAACCCAGACAATGAGACTGAAATCAGGTAATTTCCAGCCCAAATGCAAGACATCTGTTGATCCTCCAGCTCTGTGCCCATAGTGAACTCTGCCACCACATCTCCAGTCTCGACATCCCACAACCTGCACGACTTGTCTCCACTGGCTGATAGCAGCTGCTTGCTGTCTGGGCTCCATGATACCTAATACAACATTTCCAATTAGTCAAACCTAAAAATACATCTTACACAAAGCATAAATGACCACTTTAAACTGGATTTCACTTACATACTAAATATATATATATTTAGTATGTATCACTAAGAACTCTTTGACCCGGCCAGGATTCGAACCCATGCCGTCTAGGATCACCCCTAAATGTACACAGTACCGTGACCACCGCACCAATGATCGTCCGTCCCTAAAGTTACCCGTGAACGAGCACCAATTTGTACACTGCAACTTAATGTTTATACTCGTTCAGTTTGATAACATTAATTTTCGTGTTACGTCTTTCATTTTGGTATCAAATTGTTCGCAATAAAAATGTGCATATTTTAAACTAGTCCCATAATAATAGAGCAATAACTGGAATTTTAACAAATATTTTAATTCTGGAAGCTCATCATCACAAAATTATTTATATCTTTCCAGTGTTCTGACAAATTTTTGTGTTACATCTTTCATTTTGGTATCAAATTGTTTGTGACGTAAAGGCGTGCATTTTAAAACTAGTCCCAACATAATAGCACAATATATAGAATTTTAACAAATATTTTAAAATTTTGACCAAAAACCTATTTATAATCATATAAGTGTTCGGACATCAAGTTTCATGTTACATCTTTCATTTTGGTATCAAATTGTGCGCATTCTAAAGGCGCTTATTTTGATACTATCCCTAGGTCGACTGGATAAAAAATGAATTTTATACAAATATTTTTGTAGTGGACGCAAGTCCGGTCCAAAGTTAGGACTCGGGAGAAAAATAATGGACGATTTTTTAATAAAAAATAATAATTCACAATCTAGCTTCTTACTTAAAGTTATCAAAGTTATCATTAATCTTTCCCTCTCCTCCAGATGAGTCTAGCATACAATCACAACTTACAGCATATATTCCACCTTTGTGTGCTGGATCACCAAGCTCCTTGTCTAGCTCTGCATTAGTACCATTGTAAATAAATATCTTGCCATCAAATCCACCAGTAGCAAACCTCTCGCCATTTGGAGAATAGCGGACACTCTGGACAAACTTAGTATGATCCTGAAACAAGAACAAATCGAGATATAAAATTTCCAAATTAAAATATGAAAGAAATCGATTATTCTAAATATTTCTAACCTTTTTTTAGGATACTTTCCAGCCTCCCTGGGCATGTGCTCTCATAACCAATCAAATTGGGAAATTGTTCAACACTGATGAATTCTAGAATCAGCACTGTAACTGTGTGCATTTTTTTATCTATTTATGATTTGCATTTTACACAACATTTTGTGTAAATTGACAGAAGGATGGTCTTTAGTTATTCACTGCCTCCTAAGATGTTGATATGGTAATCCTGTGTTGATAATATACAGGGCAATGTAAACTGTTTTAGAAAAAAAAACGAGGTTTTCAGCATCAAATTCATCCTCCTAGGATACAGTTTTGGAATTCATATTCTCATCTTTTCTCCCTGTATGGCAGTTGTGTAAATAAAGTAACATCTAAATTGGACAGCTGACTTAATTGGAGACAAAATTTAACTTATAAGAACTTTATCAACTCTAACAGAGAAACAGGACTTGTATTTACAAAGGTATGAAGAGAGAAGGTCTTTAAAGTTAATTATGAAAGCTAATCATTAAAGTTAATTATTGTATATCATCTGCTAAATTGCTTATTCAAGTTATACATGTTAGCTTGCTCCCTGCTTATAACTGTATTTACCCAATTAAACATTAACATTTTTACCAATTTATTTTATGTCCTAACACCTTTCAATCTAGTGGCTTTACAAAAAACACACTTTTGTATATTGTTGTTGATATTACTAATGCTAAATAATATATCTACTGCTGCTAAAACTATAGATTCTATAATGCAATAAGCCTATGCCTCTCATCATTGTCATCTTTATACTGCTCATACAAAATTATTCTAGAGTTTGCCCAAAATGTTTTACATATTAGAGTAGTGGCTTTATTTAATATGCAACCCCTGTACAGTACCTTCAAATACATGTCTCTTATATTTCTAATGAATGCATATTTTTTAAAATATTGTTATTTTAATTAATTAAATTAACCCCACCATGCTCACCAATACATCATTCCAAGATAATATGTGGTGAAACATCTGCACACTTGATGAGTACCCATATTTATTGTTGCTGTATTACCAGTATTCTGTGGTGTTTTGTTTAAAGTGTCTAGTGAAACAATAATGTATCGATGTGTTCTTTTGTATATGAAATTATTATTTTTCGTGCTTGGGGGGACTACGACTACATATCCAATTGCAACTGGTGCCGAGACATTCGGAAGGGAGAGTGTTGAGTGCACTAACACGATATGTAGGGTGGTGTACCCCCTTTCCCCATGATATCGAGGGTTGCGCAGTATAGTGTTTAAGAAAGCAATACATGTTATGATAAGAATATATGTGCATGTAATGGCTTAATATGATTGTGTAGTGGAAAGAATAGTAAGGAAATAAGTGTAGAAAAGAAATATATACATAAATACTTGCTAAATGTAGAGAGAATGTATGCACAAGAAAAACAATTATAAAACAACTTACACTTTTAGTACACTTGAAAACAAATGGAGGGCCTTCAAAAAAAGCCGATTTGCTATCCTCCGACCCAGTAGCAATGCGGAATGGCCTAGTTGGCTTCCATGAAACTGAATTTATAGCCTTGGTGTGACCAGACAGATCACCCTTCACCGACGCCCCAGTATCCATCATGAACACGTGCGCAAATCTGGACACAAACAAATGTTGAGACAAAAAAGAAAATTCTATTGCAATAAGGAAAAATAAATACTGCTATCTTCTATTGAGTGTTTGGTTGATGAACTTTATTGCTATATTGCATTAATATCACAAGAGGGAGACAACAGATGCCTAAAAAATAAAATCTTGTAAAAAAAAAAAAAAAAAATACTATTGGCTAGAAAACAATGTCACAAATATTTTGGCAAATCTGTCTGGTAGAAATTTATGAAAAACTATTACAGTTATTACTGACAACATCAATAACAACACAATAAATATTTAACTAATGCACACAAAAATCATCATTATCTTTATGGTAAGCAACAGCTTAAGAGAAAAATGGGAGAGCAATGTAGCGAAAGAAGGTTAAATATAAAAAAAAAACGTTAAATGAAATGAAACTCCAGTCTGTGGGTGAGCCCCAGAGGATCCCTTTAGTTAGCTTACCGAGTAAGTACCACACTACTTGGAGTCAGCAGTCGCAGAGTTCTTGTATGCCTACCAGTGACCGCAAGCTGGAACCCGGCCCCTTCTCACAGAGGCACAGGGAGTAATGGCTCATGAACACTTTACATTTAAAGTTTATCATCGTGCCCTCTACCGGGGAAGGCACCCAGAAAGGTAGGCGAATCGAAACAGACTACTAGCTGGTTGAAAAATGCCCTCAAAATATCAAAATTTGATATTGTGGTATAATTTGATACTTCATGACCCCATAGTTGGTGGGGTCATGAAGTATCAAATTCACCAGCAACAATGTAACACTCGACGAGTCAAGATATTTTAGCCTCGCTACAAAGCAGCCAGACCATATTCGAGCTCCACATTCTACGCTCTCTCTATCCTCAAGTTCACTCAAGCTCTCTGCTCCAGGCCTTGGCTCAGCTATCACAACATGTCATTACAGCAACAACTGACTGCTGTAACCAAGAATATATTAAATAAAAAAAAAAGTAAACAAAAGTAAACAAAAATAAACACAGTGACTTTCTGGGTGCCTTCTCTTGGTAGTGGCAGACATGAATAGATTTACATACAATTTTTCATAGTGCCACTGATCCCTGCACCTCTCTTGGCGACCAGGCTCTGGCTTTTAGTCTGCGGAAGGCCAATAAGAACTCTGTGACTGATGGCACCTTGTAGTCTGGCAATATATCAGTATAGTAGCATCAGAAAGCCACAAGGGGCTTCTCTCAGAAAAGATACTCAGCCTTTCAGCATATGTTTTACACAAACCAGTATAGAACAGAATCAACAATATCAAACTCAAGCAAGAAAAGAGCATTATTCCCCAACTTCACACAACTACTGTATATGTTAGATGCTTAATGTGAATTGTCATATAAAATACAGAGAGCCTCTGATGCTTCCCATGACTAGAGATTATATGATCCACCAATGACACCATTTACTGTTAAGCTCAATGTAAGAGTCTACTTCAAGCCATAGCCTACACAACATGCACAATGAAATAGGGACAAACCGAGTCATTTACCTTTGTAGTTTATCAAATTATGCTCTCTTAGCTTCCCCTTCCATTAATTAGAGGACAAGACATATTACTAAGTTACAATACATGCCTCATGGGGCACACTGGCATGATGTATAAGTTTCTCATAGTTGAGGACAAAAACCCTGTTTAGCTCATCGAGGCCACCCAGAGACCTTCCTAAGAAGTAACCCAAAATTTTTTGAGATATATACAAGAGTTGTTACATTCTTGTACAGCCACTAATACGCGTAGCGTTTCGGGCAGGTCCCTGGAATACGATCCCCTGCCGCGAACAATCGTTTTTTCATCCAAGTACACATTTTACTGTTGCGTTAAACAGAGGCTACAGTTAAGGAATAGTTGCAAAACTTATGGGTATCTATCTACTTACAGCTAAGTACCCAGGACCTGAATTCACGAAGCAGTTACGCAAGCACTTACGAACTTGTACATCTTTCCTCAATCTTTGGCAGCTTTGTTTACAATTATTATACAGTTAATGACCTCTGAAGCAGCAGGAGGCTGCTTAAAATAATAACAGTTGATTGGGAAGTTTTCATGCTTGTAAAATGTTTAATAAATGTAACCAAAGCCATCAGAGATTGAGGAAAATGTACACGTTCGTAGGTACTGTACTTGCATAACTTCGTGAATCTGGCCCCTCGAGTTGTACAAAGGCATCAGATGAAAGAAAAAGTTGGCCAAACACTTCTGTCCTCCTGCAAGAATTGAACACAGGAACTTTATGTAGTGACTAATGCACTTACCACAGTGCCACATGACCCAATGACATGGAAGGGTCCAGAACACAAGTACACAGGAGCTACTAAAATGCTGCCCAGAAAAGAGAAAATGAAGAATATTGCCATCACAGTAATGAGCCACACCAAAGGAAGAACCCAAGTGGTACTGTATATGCGCTATAGGAAAACAACATTATACAGCTTATAGGACATTAAGAAAATAATTTGAATAAGTTGGGTAGGTGTAAGGGTGACATGAATCAATAACTTGGCTCCAATCCACTCACTTTCCTCGACCTTCACCAACAACACATATCCGCTGGGAGTCCTGAGACCAGCAGATGTCCCTAATTGGGCCTCCCAAGGGTTGGTACTCTGCCTTGAGAATATGTTCGGGGTTAATGGTGTCCCAGATGCGCACCTTGCCATGTTGATCTAAAACCAGATAAGAAGCACATCATCCTGAATTATGTAATACTGTATCATCTTCAAAAACTACTCTCTACTATACATTTCTTAATTATAATTTAAAAATTTATATGCATGTACTTTTATATATTATATATATATATATATATATATATATATATATATATATACATACATACATACATACATACATACATACATACATACATACATACATATATATATGGTGAGAAGGTGGTGGAGGTCAAGACCGTCAGTAGTTTCAATATATATATACATACATATATATATGGTGAGAAGGTGGTGGAGGTCAAGACCGTCAGTAGTTTCAAAGCGTTATATGACAAAGAGTGCTGGGAAGACGGGACACCACGAGCGTAGCTCTCATCCTGTAACTACACTTAGGTAATTACACACACATCTGAAAACTCACACCCCAGAAGTGACTCGAACCCATACTGCCAGGAGCACTCTGCTGGTGTACAGGATCCCTTAACCGCTCGACCAACACGACCGGACAAAAGAGGATGGTAGCCGAGGCTATTTTCATCCCCCCGCCGGCACTCGGTTGGTAATCTTGGGCACGGCATTTTATCAAATCACCTCATTCTGGTCGAGCGGTTAAGGGATCCTGTACGCCAGCAGAATGCTCCTGGCAGTATGGGTTCAAGTCGTCCCTTGGGCGACTCGAATCTTCCGAAGAGCAAACCACACCGCCACGAACTCCCGCACTGTGCTGTGGGCTCGACGGAAAGACGAACCCCACCGACCCTGGCCGGCCTGGTGAGCACTGGTCACAAAGCCACAGCCAAGAGACGGCGCGTCCGTGAACACCTCGAGCGAGGGCTTGGGTAGGCCCCACAGCACTGAACCCCGAAAAAACAGAAGAGGAAGCCGGTGACGTAGTTACCGACGCAAAGCCCCCGGGGTCCGAACCCAGCGATCGCGAGAGAGGCGGAAGGGACGTCCCCGAAGGAACCAGAACAGCCGACGAAGCCAAACCTGACCCAGCGGGTAGACTAGCATCGCGAAGTTCAGGCTCCCGCACAGACCCTCGAGCAACCGCCGGGAGACGCGGGAGCCCCCAGAAACAGGCACAAGCGGGACCGCAGCTGCAGAAAAGACTCCGGAGGAAGAGACAAGGAAGCGGTCTGAGAGTCCCACACGAGGCCCAGCCAGGTCCGAACCTGGGAGGGAACCAGATGGGACTTCCTCCAGTTCACCAAGAACCCGAACCCAGTGAGCTGAGAAAGAACCAGATCCCTGGCTAGCAGACAAGCGGACTGACTGGGAGGCCAAACCAGCAGTCGTCGAGGTAGGCCAACACCCGAACACCTAACAGCCTTTATGGACTATGCTAAGATAGTCCATTTTTGTAGTTCCATCCATAGCTATATAATTACAGTATTGTACAGTACTATAATTTTTGGATGACATTTAAAATTCTGAACTTTGAGTTTTAAAGTGTTAGCAATACTCCTCCATTATACTCCTCAACCAGCCTCCTCACTCCGCAGCCATAACTCTTCTACATCAAATTAGTCATTTTGTAAATGTTCCGAAGTCTCTTCCTCCAAGAGATAAAAAAAAAAATATAGGAAATTAATAAGTTTATTTTTCCAGCAGTCACACTGACTTCCCCACATTAAAACCTTTTACATTTGAGTTAAAATTTATATGTATTATGTTAGAACCCAGTTAACTTTAATACGGTACAGTATTAACATTTTATTTGTGTATCCTAAAAAGCAAATTTTTATTTCATTCTTTTGTACTTTACAGTACTACATCTATAAACATAAGTGTACAGATTTAAATTGGACCATATTGTTCTGTATTACAGATGCTCTACTGTATCACTGTTTATCTAATTTATCAATTCTCCAATATAACCCTCAAAATTTAGATGCAACATTACAAAACCATTGCACTGTGAATGCTAAACTCACCACCTGAGCAGATGTAAAATCCTGAGGGAGCATACTGTGCCACATTGACTTGGATTGAGTGCTCTGTGTACACATCAGCAATAGCTGGATCCTGAAAAATTAACATGAACTCGTTAGGTATTTAAAATCATTAAAGCATTATGAACAGCCGAGTTAGATGAAAAACTACATACAGTACTGTAACATCTTCATCAAAATACTGAGTTGGCCACATCAGTGCCATGACCAAGTACTAGTACAGCTACATCAGCTAGACATAAAACATTACTATATAAAGCCATGCGAGGATGGATCTAGATCATTCTCACAAAACAGCAGCCAGCAGCAACATCACCTCTTACCAGTCTCAGTACATAGCACCTCACTAAACAGACTATTAGATTATTTTGTACAGACAGCCACTTGGTTTGCGAACTTAAGTTATCCGAAAGTTCCAGTTTCACGATCGGGGTTGGGGTTTCACGCTTCACGAGCTAAGTTCGGGAAGCAAGGAAGTGGTCCGCTAGGCCTCACGCCAGCCCGGGGTGGTTAGATGGCCTAGTTTGCCAAAAACTAGACACTGACTGTGTCGGGTGCCACCACTCTAGTGCCTTCTACTCTGACATCACACGTTCAAGGACCATTGTTCCCATTGTTTTGATTTGTCACGAGGCTGTTGTGTTCATTGTGACTTTCTTGGACACATCTGTACAATCAAGGAACATCTGTGCACCATGTCGGCTCCAAATGCACGCATTGTGTCAGTGATGGCTGACAGGCGGGCAGGCAGGCAGGGTGGGTGGGAAATGGGATGGCTGACAGGGAGGGTGGGAAATAGGATGGCTGGCAGGCAAGGTTAGCAGGTGGGTGGGCAGAACGGGGTGGGTGGGTGGATGAATGGATTGGTGGCTGACTGGTGTGGAGGGGGGGGGGGGGCTAGCTAGCAGGTGGGTGGGGGGGGCTAGCTAGCAGGTGGCTGGGTGGATGGATTGGTGGCCAGCTGGAAGGCAGTGTGGATAGATGGATGGACTGGTAGCTGATTGGTGAGCAGGCTGGCTGGGTAAGTTAATGGGTGGGTGGGCTAGCTGAGTTGCTGGGCAGGCTGGCTGGGTGGGGTTTGGGAAGAGGGAGGTCTTTGGTGGGTTCAGGTGGGTAGGCGGGCTTGGGCGGGTGTTCGGGCGGGAAGGCGGACAATCACAGACTGGGTGTGGTCACACCACATCCCTGCTACATCCATCTCCCCTCCCCATCCCCCACACCAGACCCTCCCACAAATATCTCCCACCTTCCAGGAATGTGTAGACAGGTATTAATACAGTTCAGATTCTCGGCTTCAGGGTCTCCAACCTGGCCCATTGCAATAAAAAGAATAGTAAGGCCTTACTTTTCACTCCTTTACATCTTACTCTTCACCTATTTGTATTTGTATGTACCCAGGGGTGCAGTGCCATATTTATAGGTGCCAGGGCTCTGGTGCATCTGACAAAAGCCTGTCATTTCCTATCCTGTTTCTATGTACTGTATGTCACACGATTAAGTATTTCATGTTTGTACTCGCTAATAAAATAAATATTATCATCAAACAAATATAGAAAACTCATCAATCATGTATTTATCAATTTAAGAATTTATAATACTTAGTGCTCACAAAATACAACTAGTGAGAAATTTTTCAATAGTTTCCACAAAGTGCCAGGTGCAAGATGTTTTCAAGGATCTGAAGCAACTCTTTTCTTTTTTCCCCCCCGGTGTCATCTGCCGATCTGTGGTACCACAGCCATCATATGGCATATGGCTCAGGATTCCACTGAACTAGGAGAAGGTCCATGTAGTTTAACAAACATAAGTGCTGATACATGATTTATGAGAACTCATGAGAGTAGTGTTGTTATCATCAGGTTCATGTAACTGAATAACCCCCACACTCACACTGATCAGCACTAATAAGAATAACTTGTAAACAGCTCAGTAATGGGTGTAAATCTTGGGGGACTGGCTGGCAGTCTGGGAGCTGCGGACTGCCCACAAACAACAGTAAGCCACAACCAGGTCCAGTGGTATGCCTACAAAATGGAGTACCCCAGAAATGTCCTAACTGCCTGATGTATATAACGAAAGGGGGATTCCCCTTCCAAACATTACCACCTCTCCTCCTTACCATCTTCCATATGCCAACAAATCCTCAATAAAGGTAAAGTGCCGTAAAAAAAAATATAAGTAATATTCTGTATAAAATGTATTTTTAAATTATTTTTTGAGTGTGGAATGGATTAATTCAATTTACATAATTTCTTATGGGAAATTTTGATTTTGGTGTACGAATCTTCGGTTTATGGTGCTCCATAGTTCCACTGCTCTTTATAATTTCCACTGTACTGTGATGTGCTCTTGATGGAAGACAGCCATGTGTGGAAAGTTTTCCACTTTCCATACCTGTTTATTTAGTTTTCTACTCATAGCTATCTTTCATCAAGAGCATGGGCCTGCTATTACAGTGTACATTACTTACCTGGCTCCTAAATAAAATATATATGAAGTACAATACATAAAAAAAATTATTTTACATGCCATAAAATACAGTAATGGCAATAAAAAGATGATGCTTACCTCAATATCACGGATAATCACAGAGTTTCCATGACCGTAAAGGAGCTTCTTTCCTTTAGGATCTACACCCAAAACAATGGGTTGTCCTCTCTGTGTGCGGGGCAGGGACGCCCAGATGGACACTGTAAATGAGGATCATTCATGAGCTCCTACAGTACCAGTTGGTACATCTTTTGTCAATCTTTAGGGGCTTTGTTTACATGCATTAAACAGTTTATGAGCTCTGAAGCACTAGGAGGCTGTATATAAAAATAACATTTGATTGGGAAGTTTCAATGCTCGTAAACTGTTTAAAAAAAGTAAACACAGTTGTTAAAGATTGAGAAGAGATATACAGGTTTGCAAGTACATGCATAAATGCTTGTTGAATCCTGACCAAGGCCAACAAAGCGACAACACGGCCAATATACAAGCAGATTGTGTCATGGGCTATAAGAAATATGTGCTTGATTTGTAACTGACATAATGGCCGATACTGGTGAGTGTACATAAAACTCTGAGGTGGACCAATTAATTGTTTTTCCACCTTGCTGATGTAATCATGAACAGTTACAATAGGTACATGGTGAATTCAGGACATAGACCAACAATGTTTTGACAAAATTACTAACAAAGTTCAACAAGGACACTCATGTCATAACCAGAGAGGCATTATCAGACCAACACTGTTTCATGTTGTGTCAGACAGATTGACTTTCAAAGAAGGCTTTCTGTTACATTAAGCTGAATACATATCAGCCACTGGAAAGCATGTATGAGGCCAACATGAGTGCGCTGAGAGTGAGAACACACAAAGCTGGCCAAAGGCATGGAAAGTAATCAACATGGTGCAAAAGAGTGCATCGCTGCCCTGTGTCACAAATTGCTTCAGTGACTATCACATACCCTGGAGCTTTTGAGTGTTACATAATGAAGCATAAACATGTACACATTGATGTTTATGACAGGGAATATGTTTATTTCCTCTTTGTCCTATCATTTCTTCACGGGTCTCTGTCGGTTATCCTCTTGCCTCCTGGCTCGCTAAAACTCTGGGGCCTTACCTTGGCACTTTTTCTCCTGCCCACCTTCGTCACTCTCAGGACTTCATAGAAAGATTGCGCCTGCAGCCATCCTGTAAGATGCTTAGTCTCGTTCACTAATGTTCCTCTCGATGATGTTCTCTTTCCTTAGACATAAGGTGACTGAGGGCCTTTTTCCTCTCCCACTCCCTACGGCCATTTTCCTTGAACTCATTAGACTCTATTGACTAACTCTTTCTCTTTCAACGGTAAATATTACACTCAAACTTTCGGTGTCACTATGGGTGCCTCTCTCTCCCCTGTTCTTGCTAATTTCTACTACTGGAATACTTCGAAACTGTTTTTCTTCCTTCTATTGATACTTGTCCCTCTCTCTGACTTCGCTATGTTGATGACATTTTTGCTTTATGGCCTCATGACCTTAGTCTTTTCCAGCCTTTCCTTTCTTAACAATCTGGCTCCTTCTATCCATTTCAAAGTTGAGTGGGAATCTAATTCCCTCCTTCCTTTTCTTGACGTTCACGTTCACAGCTCTGTGTCTGGGTTCTCTTTCTCTGTCTAGTGTAAACCTATGCATAGTGGCATGTACATTCACTTCTTTTCCTACCATCCTCCTTCTGTTAAGAAAAGTGTCCTCGTCTCTCTCTCTTCCTCCGCGCTCTACATATCAGCGACCCTCAGTTTCTTGATTCTGAAATTGCCTTTATCTACAAATTCTTCTCTGGCCTTGGTTACCCTTTGCATTTCATCAACTGTGTCTACTCTCACACTTAACAATTTCTTTCATCCTAAACCTGCTTCCAACACTAGTAGCACTGTACTATGCCTTCCCTTCATATCTGAACTCAAAACTCTTACTAATACCTTTCATCCTCTTGACATTAAACTCGTCTTTCAACAAACTAACACACTTCGTAGCAATCTAGTTCACACTGCTCCTCCTGCCGCCGGTGTCTACTCTATTTCCCATTCGTCTTTTCCTCTCCACTACCTTAATGACAGACTTAAAAAACACAGAAGAAGTGTTAAGTCTGCAGACACAAACAATGGTCTCTTCTGTCATGTTAGTGATTCTAATCATCTTACTGGTCTTCTTGTAGAATTGGCTCTAATACACAACATACCAAACATGAACTTTAGTCCTGGCTCTGTTGCTGTGGACTCTTCCCTTTCACAGTACTATATATACTCAAATGCTGTAATCTTTCAGGTCTCCGTCAGACTCCTGGCACACGCGAGCCATCAGTCTGGTGCACACAATTAACCTCACATTAAACATTCCATAACAGTGGTGTACTTTTTATAACGTCGCAAATATTGTTAAGTTTTTCAATTAACTTTTGTAAATAATGAGAATAAGGGTGGAGTGGGCCTGGGTGGGGATGACTCATACCTTCACTACCAGACAATGACTGGCGCCACCACACTACTCCCTCACCATATTATACTGCCTCCTACCCCACATTACTTACATATACATATATGACCCAGGCAATATAGTGAGAGTGTGTGTATGTGTGTGTGAGCCGGGGTGAGAGGCAGCTCCCCGCCCCCGCGCTCACCCCCACCACACCTACCTCTCTGATAACACTTCTCCTCTCACCGCCTACACCATATTACTTGCTTAACTCATACTCGGCACTAACATCTCTCTGAAAGAAAGGTCCGTGTAACTGAAGACAATACTGTAGCTTACGGTTGGTATATGACATCTTCCCTAGAGCCGCACTTGACACACTTCAGCAGACGCCGCCACCCAGCCCACCATAGCCATATACGGAACTGAGTCCGAACACGCCACCTGCTCCTTATTTGTATCTCTATCTTGACACATACTGCCAACCACCTCCATGTTATTAAATCAAGTTATATTTTACATCTGGTTTCAAAATATTTTGTTCATTATATCGCCCATGTAGCACCTTTGGACAGTTGCCAGAAGTTAGCCATAGACTCTGACACGGGTCCAGACACTTCACAATCACTTCCGATTCACGAAACGTTTAAGAGAAAACGGGAAAGCGGCCGGCGGGTTTTCTGTGAGTGGCGGCGGCCTTGAGGCGCGCCATATTAGGTCACATACTCTCCTCACGCCTTATCTCTTATTATCTCTCTCCCACACTATGTGCTATTGCCACTCTTATCATACCGATAACTGTACTACTGCCATGCACCATTGCACTGTGACACTCCCTAAAATATTTCCTATTCTCTCCCAGAATAGAAAACTCCCCTTGATTTGATTTGATTTATGTCCCCCGCCCTGCCCTGGTGACGTTCTATTACTCCCTCATCTATCAATTATGGTATTTGTGCTTGGGGTTCTACTACACAAAATCATCTACGTCCTCTAATTACTCAACACAAAGCTGCTATTAGAACAATATCAAACTCTGGCCCGACAGCACTCGGTACCCTTACTTAAGATATTAGGTCACTGCACATCCTCTCATGTGTACTCTATATATTTAAAACTCTGAACTGTTTAAGAGTTTAGTTTAAGAGAAAAACTAAGTACCATCTAATAAAGTCCATGAAATCTACCTTAGTTTTGTTAGATTAGTTCATTTATTATGCACCCCATTCCCATCTTGTGGGCGGTAGTGGAAAGGGTTACAGAGGCACATAATGGACTCAGGGACTGAACCCTATAAATCATTTAGCTAAGCAAGTTACAAAATTCAATATTAGTTGTCACATCATCAATGAGTTCGAGATCGACCACAAGAACAGTTTCTAAATTAAGCAACTGATATATGAATAAATGAATAAATGTTTATTTAGGTAAGGTACATACATACAAGAGATTTTACAAAGATTGATCGATTTATAGATAGAGCTACTACATGCAATGCCTAAAGCCACTATTACGCAAAGCGTTTCGGGCATGAAAAACATTAATGACTAAAGCTTAATACTAATTGAGTATAAAGAATAAAATGTGTTGAGAACAAATAAAAATAAAGATAAAAAAGGGGGGAACATGGCTGAAAAAGCAGCACAAATACAATTAGGTCGACAAACAGCATTGTTTAAAAAAAAACAGACATGGGTTGACAATAGAGGGGTAAGGTAGGTTACACGGAATTTATTAGGTAGTGCTTCGTTTTTATCTTAAACTGGTTGAGAGAGGTACAGTCTTTAACATGGTTGGGAAGGTCATTCCACATTCTGGGTCCTTTGATTTATAGAGCATTTCTAGTTTGATTAAGTCGTACTCAAGGAATATCAAAACTGTATTTATTTCTGGTGTGGTGCTCATGGGTTCTGTTACAACCTTCAATGAAGCTTTTGAGGTCAGGATTCGCATTACAGTTCAGCGTTTTATATATGTATAATACACATGAGAGAATGTGCAGTGACTTAATATCTAACATATTCAGAGATTTGAGTAGGGGTATTGAGTGATATCTGAGGCCAGAGTTGGATATTGTCCTAATAGCAGCCTTGTGTTCAGTAATTAGAGGACGTAAATGATTTTGGGTAGCAGAACCCCAAGCACAAATACCATAGCTGAGATATGGATAGATGAGAGAGTAATAGAGAGTCACCAGGGCAGGGCGGGGTACATAATATCTGATCTTAGAAAGAATGCCAACAGTTTTTGAAACTTTTTTTTAATATATTTAGAACGTGTCCCTGGAAATTCAGCTTGTGGTCAATGAGAACGCCAAGGAATTTGCCATCTAATTTGTTACAAATTTGGGTATTGTTTATTTTGAGATTTATTTGATTAGAGGATTTATTGCCAAACAGAATATAGAAAGTTTTGTCAATGTTAAGGGCGAGTTTGTTGGCAGTTAGCCAAAGATGGAGTTTATTTAGCTCAGTATTTACTGTGGAATTTAGAGCAAGGGGGTCAGGACTGGAGTAAATGAAGGTTGTATCGTTAGCAAATAGAATTGGTTTGAGGTGTTGGGAGGCATTTGGAAGGTCATTAATGTAGATGAGAAAGAGGAGAGGGCCAAGTATGCTGCCCTGAGGAACACCCTAGAACACTTATAATGGAAGGGGACTCCCCTTCCAAACAGTAACACCTTTTCTCCTCGCCCCTCCTCACCATCTTCCATATGCCAACATGAGTCATCAGCAAGGGTACGTAGTAACTTGAACATACTTTTGTAATGTAGATTTAGATGAATTAGGTACAAAAATTTAGTTTGAAGTGTGGTTTTTGGGTAGTCAGGAACGGATTAATTCATTCCCATTATTTCTTACGGGGAAATTATTTTCAGTTTACAAGTTTTTGGGTTACGAGCTGTCTCCAGGAATGGATTCAACTCTTAAACCGAGGTACCTCTGTACAGTATGTTCATTTTTGTGTTTCGTTGTATGATCAAGTGTTTTCAGGTACAGTATAATTTTTGTCATGTTTATTAATGTTTAAGGTTATAGTAAATCTTGTTAATTGTTTATTTGCCTATTTTGTTTTATTCCCTGTGCAACCTTTCACATCGCAAGGGTCAAAGCAGAATTTTTTTTTTTATCGATGAGAAGTGATAGGACATTACACCTGCCCAGCATATTACCTATATAATAAATTACACCTGCCCAGCATATTACCTATATAATAATAATACTACTCTAATGATAATAATAACAACAATAATATTAATAATGTTTATTCAAAAGAATGTGTGTACAAAGAACAAAGAGAAATGTGCAATTGTATGGGCAGGAGTTACACATACTAATGAAACCACTACATGTATTACACAAAGCGTTTTGGGCAAAACTTAAACTCTAGACAAAAATTAACTAAAGGAGTGAGGGGGGTAAAACACTTAATAATAAAGAGAAAATAAATTAACAAAATGAGAATGTACAAAGAAAATACAAATGAATACAAAAAATATGATACTTAAGGATGACATACATGACTACTGTATTACATTATGGAGTCAGTTTTTCTAGCAACAGTACAGTAGTTTATTTACATTAATAACACAATAGAAATACTAAGGTGTAATTTAGAAAAGCAACTAGATTCTTTCTCATAACATTTTCCTGGAACATAACAGAACAAAGAGTAATATAGTATAATTTAAGTTTAATGGGGCCAACACTTCAAAATAAACAAGGATCATAAAGGACATGAGTTATCACTTTAACAAAGAAATGCAAGATATTAGATGACATTAAATGTAGAAAGAAAAGAAGTCTTAATAAATAAAAATTTAAGATAAGAGTAACAAAAAAAAAAACAGCACTGAGTGTAATGAAATGCCATTTTCTGGGTGAGTTCCAGAGGCTCCCTGAAGCTATCTTTTATTTATATATTTTTATTTACTTATATATACTGTATATACAAGAGTTCTTACATTCTTGTACAGCCACTAGTACACAAAGCGTTTTGGGCAAGTCCTTAATCCTATGTTCCCTTGAACCTGGAATACGACCCTGTGAAAAATTGTTTAACAACCCAGTACCCATTTTACTGTTGAGTTAAACAGAGGCTACAGTTAAGGATTTGCGCCCAGTAAATCCTCCCCGGCCAGGATACGAACCCCATGACAAAGCGTTCGCGGAACACCAGGCGAGTGTCTTAACCACTACACCATGGGGACTGCAAATATCCTAAATGATGTGCTATATTAGTTTGGGGTCATCACTCACAGGAGTTCTTATGCCTACTGGGAATTACAAGCCAGAACCTGGTCTCCTCAGAGAAGCGCAGGGAGCAATGGCTTATGAGCACATTACATTTAAAGTACAGTGGTACCTACATTTATGAATTTAATCCATTCCAAAAGAGGATTTGTCAACCGAAAATCCATAAACCAAAACAAATTTTCCCATAAGAAATAATGTAAATTTAATTAATCAGTTCCACACTCCCAAAAATATTAACTTCATAATACATTTTATATAATACTACTGTACTCAAATTTTGTACTACAGTACAGTGTATCTTACTTTTATTGACGACTCTTGATAGCGTATGAAAGATGGTGGGGGTGGGGAGGTGTTAGTGTTTGGAAGGGGAGGGCCCCCTTCCATTACAGTATAACATCAAGCAGTTGTGTCATTTCTGGGGTACTCTCTCTCTCCTATGTTTGGCAGGCATACCACTAGGACCTGGTTGTGACTCACTACTTGTCTTAATAAGAATCTGTGTCTATAGACATTTGTTTTTCCCCATGCCCCACAACACTATAAATACCAATTCTTTTTCTAAATTTCTCAAACCATCCTCTGCTCTCCTTAAATACTTTCATATCTGCATCACTTTTTCCAGGCTTTTTTTTATATAAGATCTTCATGAAATAGCATTGCTTTTTCACAAATGATGGTCTCTGAAACGCTTTCAGAGACCCATGGCATGATATATAATAAAAACGTTTATGTTCAGAAACCAAAAAAAGCACAAAAGCCACGAAATTCTTCACAAAGAATTCAAGAGCAGTCGAAGAAAAATGGCGACGAAAACCTAAGAGCCAAGGCCCAAGCAGATTTCAAGGTGGACGCAAGCACCGCCTGCCGACACGCAAGACAAGAAGCAAAGAACAGAGGCACCGCATCCCACAGGATCAGTGTGAACAGCTTCAACAGGGAAGACGACACACATGCCACCATGGCCAAGGCACCAGACCATGGAATGGCCCAAAGTGCCTCCACATCTTCCTCAAGCCAATCCGAGGACAGCTCCAGGAGGGACAATAAGCACAAGACCAAAGCCAACAGGCCACGAGCGAGCAAATCCTCAGCAACCAGTGCAGCCGAAAGGGTGAGAACCTGCACGTGAAGCTGCACGATGTCAACATCCCGGGCAGGGGTGAACAAGAATGCATTGAGGTGCTCAAAGTTGTCCCCTCCAGGATCCACTAAAGAGGCATAATCTGGGTCATGCAGGAGGAAAGTCGCAATGGCTTCCTGTACCTCATGAGGCTGAATGCGGGAAGCCAAAAACCTCCAGAAGGATGGGAACGATGGACCCAATGGGACACGGAAACAAACCCGGGGTAGGGGCTGACACCAAATCCAACTCGTACGCGGAGGGAAGGGAGAAGGAAAACCCCACTCCTCGTAACAACAAGCCTTGTTCAGAGGGTACAAAAACCCAAGCAGGGTCCAACGGGGCCCAAGGCCCCAAAGTCAAACCCTCAAGAGCCCTGGGAACCCGCACAACAGGACCCAGAGCCGAGTCATCTCCCAAAGCCCCGTCCTCAAAAGAAAAAGTCAAATGCGGGAAGGAAGGGGGCCCACTGGTCAGACCCAGACGCTTTGGTAGGAGGAACCGGCTTGAATGCCTCTGTTGCCATCCTGGAAGGCCCCCCTCCCCCCGGAGACTGCCCGAGTCTCAAAACCAACTAAACCCTGCCCTGATTCCGAAACCCTCAGGCGTTTTGGAGCCAGAAGCAGGGAGTGGGGTGGGGGGGGGGGGGGGGGGGGACAAAGGACCAGGACGAACCACAGCAGGGCAAGGACAAGGGGGCGCAGACTGAACCAAAGTCGAAACAACTAACATCCTCAAGTACGGGTTCCCTATAACTAAAACAGGGCAGCCTTGGGGTTTCTGGGTCAGCAATCAACCTAATGCACTGCAGCAACCTAAAATGAGCATGCAACGCCTGAGCTGCCTGCACCCGAATAGTCATCAGTGGACTGGGTGAAATGAGTCACAAACAAGCAACAAAACTCGCAGGACTCCGGGTCGAAGATGTCACCGACCCAGCATGACGGAGGCATAAACGGTGAACCCGGAGACTAGGGGACCGAGCAACCCTCAAACTTGCACAAGGCGAGGGGGGACCAAAGGGTCACATCCATCAGACCAACGTGCTCCAGCAGGGTTCCCCAGGGTCCTGAGGTGGAACTCACATTCAGGGAAGACCGGGCAGGGTATTGTTAACCAGTTCTCAGTATTACCAACAAACTTTTAAAGCTGTGCCCCCCCCCCCCCGGGACGGGCCTAGTGGGGGACCACCAGGATACAAGAGGGGAGACCAAAACCAAGGGGGCAGACCCCCCCACCAGGCAAGAAAACAAAAACAAAAGAAAACCCCCACAAGAGGATAACGTACCCTGGCAGAACAGAGCCAGCCGCTATGAGAGGTAACAACTAGTTGCACAGTACCCTGCGCCCCACCTGTGACGAATACTACCTCCTACCCAGAGGCAAACAGGAGTGATGGAAACCACCCCAGCTGACTCCATAGGCGGTCAATCACCAAGCAGCAAAAGACCTTACGGAGGTAGCCCCCAAGGTGACTTGTGGAAGATGGCCCCAAGGACAGTACTTATTGGGCACCTAGGGAAGGGGACCCAAGGCGCATGTAGCCCGAGTACTTGCGAGATTACTCCTGGCTCACACACCACCAGAGAACAGCACCACACCACAAGGCACAGAGCCGTGACAGAAAACAGGAGCCAGTCAAATGACTGTTGCCAATCACATCAACCACAGAACTGTAGGATGGATAGCAGGTGTGAGGGTCTGAGGCTTCCCCTTCCCCCTCCCAGGGAGGGGGTTTGCGTAGACAGCAGTGCGGTGACGTGGTGACGTTATGCTCGTTTGTTTGTTTTCATTTGGGAAGTTCTGTCCACTAATTCAGCTTTCAGTAGCAATATTTTAACCAGAATAGGGGTTTGTTTTGGGGCACTTACCTTTTTGGGTGCCTGACCCGGTCGATGGCAGACATGGAATGCTTCCAACCACACGGGGATTTGAGCCATTGTTTCTCATGCCTTTTTGAGGGGGGCCAGGTTCTGGCTTATGGTCCCAGGTAGGCCTAGGAACTCCATATGACTGATGCCAAAGTCTAATACACCTGTATATCCATATCAGCCTGGATAGCTCTGGGGAGCTGAAAGGGCTTCCCCCCAGAAAAATAAAAATTCTGGTAAATAATCAGGAACCATTGGTGATATTTTCAGTATGTTTGGGGGCTGGCTCCAAACGATGTGCAACGCCCCCACCACGGGCATCCGACCACGACAATAATGTATCTTTAAGTTTAGCAATGCCATTAACACTTGCATATGGCAAATGAAGAATCTGGAAGGTGTAATTCATTGCTTCAAGTTCGTTCCGAACAGAACCAAGAATGGGATCCCCGTTTCGCAGATCTGAAAATTAGAAGACTTGTTAGTAAAACAAACAGAGCAAAACAAAAAATAACCTATACTGAACATAATGAAACACCCCTTTTTGGGTAAGCCCTAGTAGCTTCCTGAAGCTATACAACTGAAATAGCTCCCCATTAGTGTGTCATACCAGTTACGTATAGGCATCCTGTAGGTCTACCAGAGATCAGAGCTAGAATCTAGCCCTCCCCCCCCCTCCCTCAAAGAGGCAGAGAGAGCAGTGTATTATTAGTACTGTATCACATGCAGATGATAAGTTACAATAATGTGGCTGAAGATATGAATACCACACACCAGAAGATGAGACAACGATGTTTTGCTTCGTCCTGGACCACTATCACTTGGACCACAATCGACTTGATAATGGTCCAGGACGGACCAATACGTCATCGTCTCCTCATTTTCTGGTACTGTATGTGGTTTAGTCTTCAGTACTGAATCACTCTGGAGAAAGCAACCAGAAAATAGATGAGAGAATACAGACAACTTCATGTTCATGAAAATTAAGCACTGAAACAGCCAGTGCAAAAGATTCACTCAAAACTGCGTACAAAATATCCCATAGAGTGGAGAACCAGCAACAGGTGGCATCTGCTCAGTCTGGAGCCAAGAGATCATAAACTGATGGTCCTTGTAGGAGCACAAGGGTTCACCCAGAAAAGGCATTTCATTGCATTCAACACTGGTTTTCTGGGGGTCGCCCCTTAGTGGCACCCTGAAGCTAATCACAGGAGGAGGAAAACATGGGACATCAGGATGGAGGAGAGGCAGAAGTTACAAAGTGAAGAAGAGATGTCAGGCGGGGAAATATGGTGCAGGATAACAAATTGGACTAGGACCTGGAATAGTGACATGATACTGAGCGTCCAAGACCCTGCTAGACTTCTAAAACCCCCAAGCCTGAATATCAGCCCATGGCATAATAAAGATGGTGGCCAAAGCTGTGAACTTACAAACAATGTGGGACCAACAGTTAAGATCTAGTTGATCAGACCAACAAACAGGAGGCCTGGTCAGAGACTGAGCTGCGAGGATACTAATCCTCGGAGTCTTCAACACGTAGGTAGTCAAGGGTACACAGCAGGCTGGCTAGTTGAAATGTCACTGTGGATAACCTGGGACAAACACGGCATGGAACAGGGAACCCAAGAAACTAGATAAACAGTGTACACAATTGCTAAAAAGTGGATGGTGTCGGGTGACGGACTGCTGCAACCAGAAACAATAGATGATGCACCCCCCCCCCCAAATGGACAAAAACATCAGTCACCAAGGGACCCCTCTAGAAACTAACCATCTCCATCTTTGCCAGAAAAGAAGCAGTAGGCTACAGATGAAGAAACTGCTAACCAGGGCCAAAAGAACAGAATCCATACCTCCGGGAAAAAGCATGAAGCTCACCAATCGGACAACCAGAGGCAAGAGCCAACAAAAAGAATGCCTGAAGAAAAAATATCCCCGACTGATGGGGGCAACTGGGAACTGAAGTGAAGAAACACTAACACTCAATCAACAGACCAAGACTGCTCACGGGGAGTAAGCAACAGCTACAGGTGAAAGACAACTTGAGACAATTTGTGAAAGAGTGCCGAGGAAGTATCGATGCTGAACACTGAAAAAAAAAAAAAAAAGTCAAAATGTAAGAGGAGCAGTAAGACACTTCATACTGTCCCTGCAATTAAAACACTAGTGGACACCAACAAATTAGCCAGCAGTGCACCACACAAATTGTGGTAAATTGATGATGATGAAACTACAGATGAAACTTTCAAAGAACAAATCAGCAAGATACGTTAGCGGGCCGATCTGTCGAAAAAGTTGGACCCATGGAAAAACACCTGGAATCGGACACCAATTCTGAAGAATTGGAAACCAAGGTAAAGTCTGCTTCCAAAGAGCCTCATACCTTACACAAGAATATTTCTAGCCGGGACAATACCTGGAGCAACAATTGAACCAAGGAAGACTGGGAAACAAACCCCCCCCACCTTGACCAGTACAGCAACAGGGCCATCCACTGCAAGTGCCTCATGATCAATGCGAACAATGCCGAATGATGTGTGCTTGTTCGCCCCGTCCTTCCTCGTGATGTCGGCCAAGTGCAGCTTCACGTGCAGGTTCCCTCCCTTTCGGAGTCCCTGGTGGCCGAAGATTTGTGTGCTCGTGGGCATTTGGTTTTGGTCTTGCACTTCTTTTCCCTGCTGGAGCTGTCTTTGGACTGGCTTGGGGAAGATGTGGAGAAGCTGGAATCCATGCCGGTGTCCGGTGTGTTTGCTTCGGTAGCTCGGGCATCGGCTGCCTTGTTGAAGTTGTTTGCACCGATTCTGAAGGAGGCAGGGATTTCTGTTCTCTGTTTTTCACCTTGCATGCCGACAGGCAGTGCTCGTCCACTCTTTGGAATCGGCCTGGGCCCTGGCTCTAAGATTTTCATCCCCTTTTTTCCGTTGCTGTTTGCAAAGTCTGCGGGGGTGCATTTTCTGCAGGCAGCTTCGTCTAGTTACCGGCCTAAATCAGATTTGTTGGTTCTCTGGAGGGGCCGTGGTGGTCCTGCCCGGAAGGGTCGTGCCAGGTATCGGGGTTCCTTCGGTTGCCGTAAGCCAGTATGCCAGATTTGGGACCAGCCCTTCCTGCTGAGCCATTGGCGTCTGGTCAGCACAGTGATTGCTCCGAGTGTCAGTCGGGCTCTCGTAGGGGTCGTCGGCCCTTTCGCAGTTCGCCCCGTTGACCAGACGATAGAGGGGAGGCTCACACAGTTTTCTCTCGTCTGGTCCCACGGTTCGTGGGCATTTTGGGTCGTTTCCTCTAGCCTACGGTGATGTTGGGTGGCTCCTCCTTCGAGGGGATCGGGGCTGGCGGGGCAGGCCTCTTCCTCTGTTCTCTGTCAGGTCATCCTGGAGTGGGTTCGCTTGGGCATAGTCGAAACGACAGCATCCCTCAGGTGGGTTTCCCGCCTGCTTTCAGTTCCGAAACGGGACTGTGCGGATTTGTGATTCATACTGGACTTGTCCCATCTGGACCCCTGGGTCTTTTTCCCCTCCTATCGGATGACCACCCTGTCTCAGATCCGGCTACTTTTGGCGCCAGGTGCTTGGATGGTGTCTCTGGACCTCTGGGATGCGTATTGGCACGTCCCGATTCATCCGGGGTTCAGGGACTGGCTCGGTTTTGTCGTGGGGCAGCGAGCTTTCTACTTCTGTTCCCTTCCTTTCAGTTTGAATCTGGCACCTCGCGTGTTCACATGCCTTACCCGGAATGTGATGACCCATTTGCGTCAGTTAGGGGTCTGGGTTCTGGCTTACCTCGACAGTTGGCTGGTGTGGGCTCCCAGCCATATCGCGTGTCTGCTCGCCAATGATTTGGTTCTTTCCCAGCTCGCTAGGGATTTGGTTCTTTCCCAGCTCGCTGGGTTCGGGTTCTTGGTGAACTTAAGTCCCATATGGTTCCCCTCTCAGGTTCGGACTTGGCTGGGTCTTGTGTGGGACTCTCGAACCACTTCCTTGTCTCTCCCTCCTGCAGCATTTTTGAGGCTGCGGTCCTGCCTACGACTGTTTTTGGAGGGCAACCGGGTCACACCTCAGTTGTTCGAGTGGCTGTGAGGGAGCCTGAACTTCACTGTGCTGGTCTACCCGTTGGGTAGGATCTGGCTTCTTCGGGGACGTGTCTTCCGCCGCTCTCGCGATCGCTGGGTTCGAATCCCAGGAGACTTGTGTTGGCTACTGCATCACTGGCTTCCTCTGTGGGTTTTTCGAGGTTCTGTTCCGTGGCACCTCCCCGAACCCTCTCTCGGCTGGGGTTTTGTGACCAGTGCTCACCAGGCAGGCCAGTCGGTGCGGTCTGTCCTTCCGTCGGGTTCACAGCATGGCGCAGGAGTTCGCGGTGGTGTGGCATTTGCTTCAGAGGGTTTGTGTTGCTCGCGGAGCAACAATCTGGCGCCATTCGCACTGCTCCCCTGTGGTTCATTGTGTGAACTGCAGAAGTTTGCTGCGGTACTTGGCTCTTTGAGTCTGGTTGCTTTGAGTGACTCGTCTGCTGAGCACTAGGGGTTTGGCTCTCCCAGCAGTTCACATTCAGGTGGTGTCGAACGTCCTGGTGGACGGCCTGTCTCGGTTCATTCCCCTATCCACGGAATGGACGGTCGACGCCGACTCGTTCAGATGGCCATGCTGGACGTACAGGCGCCCTGAGGTCGACCTTTTCACATCGGCAGAGTCGAGGCGTCTTCAAGTGTATGTGGCGCCCTTCACAGACTGCAAGGCCATCAGGGTTGATGCCATTCGGCTGGATTGGTCGAGGTGGGGTTATCTGTACCTCTTCCTACCGGTTCAGTTGTAGCTCCAGGTCCTGGCTCGCTTGGAGACTTACCAGGGGAGAGTTGTCCTGTTGGCTCCTTGGTGGCCGGTCCAGCCCTGGTTTCAGGTAATTACCTAAGTAATTACCTAAGTGTAGTTACAGGATGAGAGCTACGCTCGTGGTGTCCCGTCTTCCCAGCACTCTGTCATATAACACTTTGAAACTACTGACGGTCTTGGCCTCCACCACCTTCTCACTTAACTGGTTCCAACCGTCTACCACTCTGTTTGCGAAAGTGAATTTTCTTATATTTCTTCGGCATCTGTGTTTAGCTAGTTTATATCTATGACCTCTTGTTCTTAAAGTTCCAGGTCTCAGGAAATCTTCCCTATCGATTTTATCAATTCCTGTTACTATTTTGTATGTAGTGATCATGTCACCTCTTTTTATTCTGTCTTCCAGTTTAGGCATATTTAATGCCTCTAACCTCTCTTCGTAGCTCTTGCCCTTTAGTTCTGGGAGCAGCTTAGTAGCATGTCTTTGCACCTTTTCCAGTTTGTTGATGTGCTTCTTAAGATATGGGCACCACACAACTACTGCATATTCTAGCTTTGGCCTAACAAAAGTCGTGAACAATTTCTTTAGTATATCGCCATCCATGTATTTAAAAGCAATTCTGAAGTTAGAAAGTGTGGCATAGGCTCCTCGCACAATATTCTTTATATGGTCCTCAGGTGATAGTTTTCTATCTAGAACCACCCCTAGATCTCTCTTTTTATCAGAATTCTTTAAAGATTTCTCACATAATAAATAGGTTGTGTGGGGTCTATGTTCTCCTATTCCACATTCCATAACATGGCATTTATTAACATGAAATTCCATTTGCCAAGTGGTGCTCCATATACTTATTTTGTCCAGGTCATCTTGAAGGTCATGACAATCATCTAAGTTTCTTATCCTTCCTATTATCTTACCATCATCAGCAAACATGTTCATATAATTCTGTATACCAACTGGTAGATCATTTATGTAGACAATAAACATCACTGGTGCAAGAACTGGTACCACTTGTACCCTGTGGTACTCCACTTGTGACATTTCTCCAGTCCGATACATTGCCTCTGATCACAGCCCTCATTTTTCTATCAGTCAGAAAATTTTTCATCCATGTTAGAAGGTGCTTCTTGCTCGATGTCCGAACCTGAAGGTCTTACCACGGCTCAGCCTCTTTCAGCAGATCGGTCCTGTCTGTTACGTGGCCGATTCGATCTTTTCCCCCACTCTTCGCGTCTGGTCTTTTTGACATCGGTTTATCACCACTTGTATTGGTTATCAGGTGACTTCATTGATAGTGTCCCACCTGCAAGTTTCGTCTTAACGGTAGTATGAAATTTCCTGGCAGTCCTTTCGGCATTTTTTGTCTCTTCGTAGGTTGTCTTCGATTTCTGATCGGGTTGTTTTGTCCTTTCTCTCTTGGTTATTTCAGGACTGTCATCTAATGCCAAATATGTACTGTCACCTCATATCGTGCGGCGTTGATGGAGCCGCTGCAGCTTGCATTTGGGGTGGATGTCACTTCTGCTCCGTTCCTCAAGCTTTCTTGAGCGTTGTTTCACCTCCGGCCTACTCATGCGCCACCCGAGCTGTCTTGGTAGTTGGACCGGGTGCTCTTTTAACTATCGTCTCCTCGGTTTGTGGTGGCTCCCTCGGTTCAGGACTGTTTTTCTAAGGCTACTTTCTTGTTGCAATTGGCCTCTGGGAGTTGGGTCGGGAAGCTTCATGCTCTCCTCCGGCAAAGGGGTTTCTACTCTTACGATCCTGGTGGTTGTTTTGTTCGTTTGCAGCCGTCTCCTCCTTTTTTTGGCGAAGAATGAGTCTGCTGCTTTCTGAAGGGGTCCTTGGGTTGTTGATGCTTGGTTGGTTCGGCCAGGGGTGCATCATGTTTTGTGTCCAGTTGTGGCTCTTCGGCATTATTTGTGCACCATGGTCTCTGTGGGAGGGGCGACTCGCTTTGGGTGGACCCGGTTTTCCTTATTCCCTGTTCCAAGGCGTGGGGTTTTCCAGGTTGTCCGGAGGATTATTAGGTCCAGCCAGCCTGTGGTCTATTCCCGTGCGCACGAAGTTCATAGGTTTGCAGCTTTGGCTGCTGTTTTTGGTAATATGTCCTGAGCTGACATTCGGGTATGGGGCTTTTGGAGGTCAAACAGGGTCCTGGCCGCATGGTATCTCGTTAATGTTCCTGGCCCTTCTCGGGCGTGTGTAACCTTGGGTTGCAGGTTGCAGCCAGTTGTCTCGACTTTGAGTTGAGTGAGTGACAACCGCCTCCCGGGTAAGTCCCTTTTTTTTATCTTTGGTTAGGTGAACAAAAGAGAACTGGATAAGCACCTCCAAAGGATACCTGATCAACCAGGCTGTGACTAATACGTCAGGCTGCGAGCAGCCGCGTCCAACAGCCTGGTTGATCAGTCCGGCAACCAGGAGGCCTGGTCGACGACCGGGCCGCGGGGACGCTAAGCCCCAGAAGCACCTCAAGGTAACCTCAAGGTAGGTAGCTCCGGGGAGTTGAAGGGGCTCTCCACAGAAAACTAGTATTGAATGTAATGAAACACCATTTTCTGGGTGAGACCTGGAGGCTCCCCGGCATCCCTCCTTCCCTCCCTCCAGTCGCCTTTTTTTCGTGTCTGATACGCAGTCTCTAAACAAAGGAGAGTTGCTGGCGTGGAGGTCTGGGACCCCCCTTTGTCTCCCTGTCTGCCTGCCAGCCTCCCTCCCTCCCTGCCTGTCTTGCTGCCTGCCTGCCTGTCTCCCTAATTGCCTGCCTGCCTCCCTCCCTCTCTCCCTGCCTGCCTGCCTGCCTCCCTGCCTGTCTCCCTACCTGCCTGCCTGCCTCCCTCCCTGCCTGTCTCCCTACCTGCCTGCCTGCCTGCCTGTCTCCCTCCCTGCCTGTCTCCCTAATTGCCTGCCTGCCTCCCTCCCTCCCTGCCTGTCTCCCTGCCTACCTCCCTCCCTCCCTCCCTGTCTGCCTGCCTCTCTCCCTGCCTGCCTGCCTTTTTCCCTGCCTCTCTGCCTGCCTGCCTGCCTCCCTGTCTCCCTGCCTGCCTGCCTCTCTCCCTGCCTGCCTGCCTCTCTCCCTGCCTGCCTGCCTGCCTGCCTGCTTCCCTCCCTCCCTGCCTGCCTGCCTGCCTGCCTGCCTCCCTGTCTGCCTGCCTCTCTCCCTGCCTGCCTGCCTTTTTCCCTGCCTGCCTGCCTCCCTGCCTGCCTGCCTTTTTCCCTGCCTGCCTGCCTCCCTGTCTCCCTGCCTGCCTGCCTCCCTGTCTCCCTGCCTGCCTGCATCCCTCCCTCCCTGCCTGCCTGCTCCCTCCCTCCCTCCCTGCCTGCCTGCCTGCCTGCCTTCTGTCCTCTCTCCCTCCCTCCCTGCCTGCCTTTCCTTCTCCCTGCCTGCATTTCCCTCTCTCCCTGGGGGTTCTTGCCATATAGTCCAGATTAGCGAGCTAATACAGTACTCCATCATGTGGCTGCAGCGATGGACATCTTAGCACACTGCTCATGATACTGGGGACCCCCTTTCTAGTGGGTTTAGTTAGTGATTTGATACATGAAAAGGTACCTTGAGAGCATGATTGTATGGACAAATGTTCGTATAATGTGTGTTCACGTAACGAGGATGCCCTGTATTAATACTTTGACTTTTCAGTCTATCAATGTGTACCTGACCTTAAACTTTCTGGCCATCTCAGGGGTCTTGCTTAGCATCGCCTAAAACATTTATACTCTCTACATTTTCTTAGTTTTGGGTTATAACTATAAATTTGTTGTCAAAATGTTCCTAAATAGATGTACTTTATTATAGATACAAAACTAAATGTATGCTGATGACAGATTATGTGTGATGGTATTAAATATGGATGTTTCAACATTCAACATTCCTCTTAAAATATTTTTCAACTTTCCATATATATTTTTCAATACAAATTAAGCAAAATACAGAAATGTGCACAAATGTTTTGTCTATATCACTATAAGTAGAAAGTAAACATAACTTTCATAATTTTCTGGCAGGTAATTTACAAAGCATAGTGAAAATATTCACAAGAAGAGCAATTGTCATCTTGAGTGATGGGTGAGATTATCTCTGAACAGTTTCCTCATAAGCTATCCCCACAATGTGCTTGAAAAATAATAAAATGATCAATTAAAATAGATTTTTGAGAAATTCAAGATGGACAACACATTTCAGAATCGCTGGGACATTTACTGTTTAATTATCATTGGAACATTAAAGTGTTGAAAACTTAGTTTGGAAAAATTTGTCAACAAAGGAGGCACTTAAGACTTACTAACCTTCCACAAACATTTGGTTAATACCAGGTTTTACTGTAATTCTGGGTTGCTCAATGGCCCTTGTCAAGTCATAATCTTGAAACACCATCTGTCCTACTACCTGTACTGCTGCTCCAACCTCGGGGCTGCCCAACACAACTCTTCTCCCACATACCTGACAAATACATTAGAGTAAAAATTAAACTTAGTAAAGAAATAATAAATATTTTACTCAGAAACAGATAAACAAAAAGCCGGCATTGAATGTAATGCAATGCCCTTTTCTGGGGGTAGTCCTGGAAGCTCCCAGAAGCTATCCAAACTGATATGTGCTTTATTAGTGTGGGGTAATCAGTCCCATGAAGTCCCACGAGAAATAATGGGCAGAGTTTCTTTCACCCTGATGCCCCTGTTACCTAGCAGTAAATAGGTACCTGGGAGTTAGTCAGCTGTTACGGGCTGCTTCCTGAGGGGGGATGGAGGCCTGGTCGAGGACAGGGCCGCGGGGACACTAAAGCCCCGAAATCATCTCAAGATAACCTCAAGATAACCTCAGTACCCCGCACCCCTACCAGTGCAAAAACTACCACTGATCCCAAGGCCAACAAGCGTGGAAACCCCCCAAAACACTCGAGGCAGTCAATAGCCAAGCAGCAAAAGACCAACAGAGGTAGACCCAAGGTGACTTGTGGAAGAGAACCCCCAAGTCCCTAGGGCAGTACTTACAGGGCACTCAGGGAAGGTGACTCTAAGCACATGCAGCCCGAGTACCTTGGAATATTACACCCAGCTCGAACACCACCATAAGAGCAGTACTGAAACAGGGGGACAGCACAACACAAGAGGCCGGAACTGGAGCCACACGACTATGCCGTATCCCATCAGCCAAAGAATTGGGGGTGTGAATCGCCGGCGCAGGGGTCTGGGGCTCCCCCCCTCCCTCCTGGGGAGGGAGAGCTGCGCAGACATGCAGCGCGGTTCATGTGACGTCCTGCTCATTTTCATTTGGGGAGTTTTGTCCACTCGTTTGTCTATTTTAGTCGTTTTTACCAGAAGAGGAGTTTGTTTTGGGGCGCTTACATTCTGGGTGCCTGTTCCAGTCGACGGCAAATATAGAATGCTCCACAATCACATGTGCATTTTTATAGGCCATTGCTCTTCGTTCCTCTCTGAGGGGGGCCAGGTTCTGGCTCGTGGTCCCCGGTAGGCCTAGAACTCCACCCTCATCGAATGATGCCAAAGTTAGGATATCCTTATCAGCCTGGATAGCTCCAGGGAAGCCGTAAGGGCTCCCCCCAGAAAAACATAGAAACTGCTTCTCGGAGGATGGGCGTAAACGCTTTTGTAAAACATACAATGCTGCAGCAGCTGAGACCAAGACCCCAGCCGAAGGCCCCTCACCCTGCGCTCCCACATCTTCCAAAACCCAATCCGAAGACAGATCCAGAAGACTAAAGAAACACAAGACCGAGGCCAAATAACCAGGAGTCCAAAGGTCTTCAGCTGCCAAAGCAACCGAAAAAGTGGGGGGGGGGGTTGCTGAGTATGCAACTGCACCAGATCAACATCACGAGGAAGCAGAGGGACGAGCAAAGAGGCACTCTTCGAGAAACTCAAATGAGTCCCCCAAGAATATTGTACCTGCAACGCCAAGGTAACCTCCGCCACTCAAGCATGCATGTACAACAAAAGCCATGCCAAGCCCCAAGAGAGAAGAAGGGGGCAATCTGCCAGCCAGGAGGACTCTGGAACCTCTTTACACACCCAATAAGGGGAAGAGGAACCGAACTCAAACAAAGCTGGATCCATCACAGAGGCATAAGCAGAGTCCCGCAGGAGTTAAGCACCAAGGGCTTCGTGAACCTTCGTAGGGGAAATCCAAGGGAAAGAAAACCTCTGGAAGGACGAATCCGAGGAACCCAAAGGCACCCGGAAACGGACCCAGGTGCCAAAACGGACCCACCCAACTCAAATTCATAAGAGGAAGGAGGGTACAAAAACCCCCTTCCCTGCAGAAGCCCCTGCCCAGAGAGCAAAACTGCTAAAACAGGAACAAAAGGAACCTAAGAGCCCAATGCGGACTCTCCCTGTGCCCCAAGAACCCTCAACAAAGGCCGCGAGGCAGAGCCCTCCTCCATGTCCATTCCCCCCCCCCCTCCTTGAAGAAAAGTTGGAGTTCAGGGAAAAGTTTCGAAGAAGGAAGTCTGCTGGATCGGATCGACTCGGAAGCCTCGGCGGGAAAGAGGGGCCTCAACCACCTACGCATCCATATCGGAAAGGGCAGCCCCGAAATCACCCGAGCCTCATCCCGAGCTAAACCCTGCCCAACCTGCCCAGACTCCGAAACCGTGAGACGTTTGGAAGCCAGAAGCAGGGAAGGAGAAGGAACAAGGCGAACCACGCCCACCTGGGAAGGAAGAGGAAGCATGGATGGAACCATGGCCGAAGCGACCAACGAACCCAAATCCAAGTCCTTAAAACCCAAACGTGGCAGCTCTGGGGCTTCCAACCAGGCAACCAACCTGGCCCGTTGCAATAAGGAGAAGCGATCATGCAATAAAGCTGCTGCATGATCCCTAAGATCATCAGATAAGGGATGAGTAAATTGAAGCACAAGTAGGGAACAAGTCCCGCAAGACTCCGGGTCGTAGGTGTCCCCAACCCAACAGGCAGCATGGTGGAGGCAGTACAGATGATCGTCTCCCTGATGCAGAGGCACCGAACAATCTTCAAAACTGCACAAGGCGAGAGTGGGCTTTGGAAGAAGTATCCATTGTACGACCAGGCCCACTGGGGTTTTGCAGGGCCTGTAGAGGGATTAAGCCCTATGGGAAGCCCAGGCACTGGGGCCAGCTAAGCTGATAATCCGTGATATCCTGTAGTATCAGGCTAACTGACTGCACGTAGCAGTTGTGAAACCTTGGGACAACAGAGGACCACCACCACCACCTAGGCTAAGCCTAATAAGAAGTTAAACAGACCTCCTCTACCAAAACAGGCAAAAATGGCAGAATAAAATCAAAAGAAACCCTCTAAATCACACAACTAGCAAACTAGCAGCCAGAGAGAAACATCTGGTACCAAGTGATAGAAGATGCAGATTGTGCCAACTGCAGTGCACCCCACCAGCAAACAAACCCCCCCCCCTAACCCAGGGCAAGACAGACAGCCCAAGACCCCAGGCCTACCCAAGGGCTAGGACAACCCTAAGAGAGGAAACTCTGTAACGGGGAGCGAGTCCCGAATGCACAAGGAAAGATAACCCTGAAACGAAAGAGCAATTTTTACAGAGCACCTAGGGACAGTATCCCTAAGCATATGCAGCTCCAAGTACACTCAATACACCTGGCCAAAGCACAACAAACTTGTAGGAACAGTTCCAGAAGGAAAAAATCCCAAACAGGAAACTGAGGCCAGAGGTGATGTCAAACCGCCAGCACATCAGTTCAAGAACTGCATTAGTGGGTTGCCGGCCCTCCTGGGCCAGCTACCCCTCCCCCATGGAAGTGGGTAGCGCTAATGAGGGAGGGAGGGGGGGGGGGGTAGTTGGATGACATGTTACTTCTTTGTTTTTCTTTCCGGGGAAGTTCTTTAGCTATTTTGAGGACGTAGCTTGTATATTTTAACCAGACAGTGGTCTGTTTTGAGTCGCCTACTTTTCTGGGTCCTTCCTCGGTCGATGGCAAATATGACATACTTTACATTTAAAGTGCTCATGGACTATTGCTCCCAGTGCCTCTGAGACGCAGGGAGCAATGAACGAATCAGAACCTAGTTCGAGGTCCCAGGTAGGCTTAATTAGCCTACCTGGGACCTACCTATCAGGACTCTGTGACTGATGACTCCAACTAAAATACTACAGGATATCAGTTCAGATAGCCTCAGGGAGCCGACGGGGCTCCCCACAGAGAAGTCATCATGTGGAGATTTATATTTTAGCTCCTTAACCATAATAAAAGAGTTTCAACCAACCATAAACACTAAGTCAATCATACATGGTAACTGCTCAGAGAGATATCAAATTTTAGTGAAAATGTAAATAGATGGATGAAGGATCATCTTAAAATCACTCAGCTTTTTCAGTAAAAGACAATCTCTCCTAAATGCACCACATTCAATATCAAATTTGTTGATAGTAAGAGAGTGACTACTTACTTGCGTCGAGTCGGTAATAATAACTGGAGTATATGACGTAACGGGTCGAGCATGAGAGTGTTGGGTATTATCTGGATGAGTGTGAGGCAACATGTTGGCCAGATGGTTGTTGAATAGGATCCCGTGCTTGGTCATCATTCGAGAACCAAAGTATGTCCCCAGTCCACTACAGAGATATGAAATCAGGGATGAATGTAATGAAATGCCCCTTTCTGGGTAAACCCTGGTTGCTCTCTAACACTATATCACTCATAGCTTCACTTACACAATCATATCAGTCACAGGTGTCCTGTGGCAAGGAACCAGAACCAGTACCCACCCCTTACAGAGACAGAGAGAGCAGGGGATTGTTACAATCATCCCTCACTGGGAAAGCAACCAGAAATTAGACGAGACAAAACAGACAGCTGCAGGATTCATGAAAATAAAGCACTGAAACAGCCAACAGACACTGTTAGAATCAATCAAAACAAAAATGGAAATTCAAAATATAATGTGAAACACCTCCCAATGTGCATGTGCAGAGCTGCTAGCCAGTGACATCCAGGGAAAAAAGCTGGCTCAATCACGAGCTGATGGACAACGACCATACATGGTAGGGTGGGTGGGAGTGAGGGAGCCACTGATGCTCACCAAGAAAGGGGTGTTTCAAAACATTCAATGCTGGTTTTCTGGGGAAGAGACCCTTGGTGGCTTTAAAAAGCTAACAACAGAGAACAAGCAAAACATGGAATTTACAGATAGGAGTGTCGAAAAGAACGCCAAGAAACCTCATACCGTCACCAAGAAGACCGAGGGTCCCACCGAAACGGTGGGACACAATCAAACCAGCCACCTATCCACCATAGTGTTTATGGCCCGGGAACTGTTTCTCAAACTTCCTCAAATGATTTAAATTTTTTTTTTACATCATCTACATGGTAAATGCGGCAACTTTTCCTAATAGATCACCCACGTAACAAAAACTATATTATTATATATATATACAGTATATATATATATATATTAGTGTATACTGGCAGCAGGTTTTCATTTATATACATCTCATTGACTATGACTGCATATTCTGTATTAATTATTTTCTTGTTTAGGGCTTCTATCCCTCTAACTATTGCTCTTGCATCTTGGTTTAACTGGAAGAGGAGTTCTCCAAAAGTCATCCTCGTTCAAGGTGAAGAAAAAGAAACAAACAACTGTATTACACTTATTATAAAATTACACACCATTTCGAACCTACATGGTTCATTCTCAAGTGATAGGAAATTACAAAGCGTGTTGGATTTATACTAATATGGGGTCAGGTGAAAACAAGTATACCAATACAAATGAGTCAAGAATAAGGCATAAAGGGAGGAAAAAGTAAGGCATAAAGTTTTAAAGACCTTTAAATAAAAAGCCCATAAATGTCCAATCCACATACAAATATTAATCACACCTGATTCTTTAAATTTACATGAATTTTTCTTTACCCTTGTCCCCTCTTTCCCCCGAGAAGGGGAATTATGTGAGAGAGAAAGAGACCCTTGTGTAGGGAGAAATAGCAATATTAAATGTTGAAAAACAGTCTGGAACTCTTACAGTTGAAAACCCCACCCAAGGCTGCAGATGCACAGAGCATCATCTTAACAGGAAAATGTCATCTCCCAAATCCAATGTAAACAAAAGTGATAAATGGTTAAAAAGCAGATTCAGTGCAAGAAAATATAGAGAAACAACAGTGTTAAATGTAGAAAAACAGCCTGGAACATTATAAGACATATACATGAACTATTGGGAAATGTGTATGACACGTGTATGAAAAAACATTGGAACCGGGCAGGCAAAGACATGTAATTACCTAAGTAATTACCTAAGTGTAGTTACAGGATGAGAGCTATGCTCGTGATGTCCCGTTTACCCAGCACTCTTTGTCATATAACGGTTTGAAATTACTGACGGTTTTGGCCTCCACCACCTTCTCACCTAACTTGTTCCAACCGTCTACCACTCTATTTGTGAAAGTGAATTTTCTTATGCTTCTTCGGCAAACTTTGTTTAGTTAGTTTAAATTTATGACCTCTTGTTCTTGAAGTTCCATGTCTCAGGAATTATCAATTTTATCAATTCCTGTTACTATTTTGTATGTAGTGATCATATCACCTCTTTTTCTTCTGTCTTCTAGTTTTGGTATATTTAATGTCTCTAACCTCTCCTTGTAGCTCTTGCCCTTCAGTTCTGGGAGCTACTTAGCAGCATGTCTTTGCACTTTTTCCAGTTTGTTCATGTGCTTCTTAAGATATGGGCACCACACAACCGCAGCATATTCTAGCTTTGGCCTAACAAAAGTCGTGAACAATTTCTTTAGTATTTCGCCATCCATGTATTTAAAGGCAATTCTGAAGTTAGAAAGCGTAGCATAGGCTCCTCGCACAACGTTCTTTACGCGATTTTCAGGTGATAGTTTTCTATCTAGAACCACCCCTAGATCTATTTCTTTATCAGTAGTATTTAAAGATTTCTCACATAATTTATAGGTTGTGTGGGGTCTATGTTCTCCTGTTCCACATTCCATAACATGGCATTATTCACATTAAATTGCATTTGCCAAGTGGTGCTCGATATACTAATTTTGTCCAGGTCGTCTTAGATGACAATCATCTAAGTTTCTTATCTTCCCTATTACCTTAGCATCATCAGCAAACATGTTCATATAATTCTGTATTCCATCTGGTAGATTGTTTATGTAGACAATGAACATTACCGGTGCAAGAACTGAACCCTGTGGTACTCCACTTGTGACATTCCTCCAATCCGATACATTGCCTCTGATTACGGCCCTCATTTTTCTATCAGTTAGGAAATTTTTCATCCATGTTAGAAGCTTACCCCTGTCACCCCTCCAATATGTTCCAGTTTCCAGAACAACCTCTTATGTGGAACTCTCAAGTGGAACTTATGTGCACGCCTTCTCTTCCACTTGGTGGAGAGAGGCAGTGAGGGAAAGGACCAGTCACTTGTATGTGGCTTGGGTTGGTCTCCAGCAATACGATAAGCGCAGTATTAGATGTTTTATAGCGGTGCTTCCCCTTTTGTATGAGTTAGAGATAGGAAGGTGAATAAATAAGGATTTTAGAACCTTGTGTGTTGTGTTATTTATTCATGTGCTCAGCTCTCTGTGTCACGTGGTGTTATCCACATTTACTTTGACCATCCCTTTGTGTACTGTGGTCAGAAGTGTATTGATAAAACCCATGCCCTTTGTAGTTACCAAAGAGGATTGGAGTATAGTGATGACCTTAAGTTCCAGTTTGTGAAGATCTAATCTGGTGTGTGTGGACCCTTTTGCCAGTTGACTCCTAAGGTGTGTGTTGGTTGGAAGAAACCTCTCACCCCCTCTTTGTCTGTAACAATCCTATGGTTGGTCTAAGTACACTCCCTTTCCCCCTATTCTAATCAGTGTTAGATAATCTGTTGTTGTTAAATAAAAACCCTTTGTAAAATTGTACCCTAAGGTGTATTTCTTGTTCCATGTATATAGAACTGATTATTACTGTACTGCTATATAGACACCTGCACTCTCCCATTATTTATAAGAAAATAAGAGCAGGTGTTAGAGATACTCTAGGGGTACAGCTTTCAATCCCGTACCTTACATCAGGAGAGGTCATTATGGGGGACTCATACATTTCTTTAAGGAATCTGACTGGAAAGACTTGCCTGACTTAGGACATGGAGTAAATGAGATGTATGTCAAGTTTTGTGAAATATATGATAAAGGCACAACAAAATTTATACCAAAGTGGAGTTGCAAACTAGAAAACAGGATTGGTTTAACAGAAATTGTGAGAGGGCCAGAGACCAAAAGACACAAAAATGGAATCAATAGGAAGAGGCCGAACCCCCAAACATACCAGCATACAAAGATGCGAGAAACAACTATACGGCAGTAAGGAGAGAGGCAGAAAGAAATTTTGAAACAGGGATTGAAGACAAATGTAAAACAGGCCTATTCTATAAATTCATAAACAACAAATTGCAGGTAGGGTCTAACACATTCATATCAGCCCGTTTAGCTCAGGGGAGCTGAAAGCTGAATCAACCCCGTGC